TTACATTCTTAAAATTTCAATTTTTAATATATAATAATTTTAATATATAATTATTTTATTCAAAAAGTTCACCTTTTAAAAGTGGAATATCAAAAACAACAGAGCATTTATTTTCTCAAATACATATTTATACAATTTTTCTTATTTTAACCCTTTAACTACGGATATGCATTCCTATTCGTCGTCTATTAACGACAGCCGTAGTTAAAGGGTTAATCTAAGAAATCTTCTCTTAAATCCTTTTAATGTTTTTAAACAACCTATATACATATAACGGAACATAAAGAATAAAAATAATATGGATATAAAACTATGTTATTTCATTATACATATACAACTCATTTATTATTATATCATAAAATATGTCATATATTATATATGCACACATTATACATGCAATTAAAAATGTTTAGTTTGTGGTCATTTTATAGTGTAGAGTATGAGATATTTAAACAAGATATTATATATTGTGCAACATAAATATTTACGCGATATAGATATTTACAATGTAACTTAAAATTTTTCACAAATATGATTTTGTAAAAGAGTGTTATAATATATAGATTTGACACTTGTATGTAATACTAGATTAAACACTTTCTTTGTTCTCTGTTCTAATTTTAAAATCTACAAAAATAATAATAGAGAATGAAATAAAAATAAGAAAATAATAATAGAGAAATATTAAAAAATATGTAGTCAAATACGAATTTAAATATGTAGTTACGAAATATATAAAATGCCATAAAACTTTTGTTAGAAATATTTTTTTTATATATCAAAGTCAATTTTAAACAATTGTTTTAATTCCTAAACATTTGATAATGCCTATGTATCTTTTATTTTTATCTTATAATTTTTATCTTATATTCAAAGTCCATCAAAATCAAATGTGACAGACATATGACATGTGACCCACAATTCCGATTCTTTTCTTATAAAAGCAATTATTCAATTTTGTAGTTTCCTTAATCCTTTGCGATCATATATCGAGATCACATGACTCAACATTATATTTTGTTCCATTTTGATCCATCAATTCTAATAATTCGATAAAGGAATTTATTTACGACTATTTATGTCTATTATATATTTATAATTCTATATGTGTGTGTGTGTGTGTGTGTGTGTGTGTGTGTGTGTGTGTGTGTGTGTGTGTGTGTGGGTGGGTGTGTGGGTGGGTGTGTGTGTGTGTGTGTGTGTGTGTGCGCGCGCGTGTGCGTGCGTGTATGTATATTTATAAATAATCTAGGGATCCCGAAAGTATTTTTGATATTATTATAATATATGCATATACTTTTGCAGGCTTATTTCTTGCTTTGTGTATTTTATATAATATAAGAGATAAAAATATGGGAAGATACATATGAACACACACACACACGCGCGCACACGCACACGCACACACACACACACATCATTAAATAACTGAAAATAGCTGAATTGCACAATTTATTACACTCAATTTTAAAACCAAAAAATTAAAAAAAATATTCTTTACACATAGAGAATTGCAATATGTATTTTCATATGTTTATATACATTCTATGTATATAAAATTCTATATTTTCTATATTTATATAAAATTCTATATTTTCTATATTTTTCAAAATTTTATATTTATATGCATACCTGTCTATTAATGATGCAAAAGGTTGTACTACTAGACTTGATCCCATAATAATTAAAAGATCAGCTTGTACAAAATCTCGATCAGCAAGTACTTGAAAACGTTCAGGTAACGTTTCACCAAAAAAGACTATGTCAGGTTTTACAACACCTTCATTACATTCTTCACATTTTGGTATCATGCCTTCTATGATTTTTTCTATAATTTAGAATCATAATCAGTATCTTATTAAATGAATATCTTGTTAAATTATCTCTAAATTATCTTATTTACTTGTTTAAAAATTTTAATTTATTCAAAAGCTAGAAATTGTGTTATATTACCAAATTAAAACATTCAATATTTAAAAATAGTGTTATATTAAAAAATATTGTTACAAAAAAATGGTACTATCTATTAATTTACAAAAAAAAGAAAGAGAGAGTTTAAATGTTGTACCTACATACACATATACATACATACATACATACGTATATATAAGTGTAAGTGTCAAATATTAGTTAATTGGATTCTATTTTTTTCGAGATAAATAAAAGTTTGTTAGTTTATTATTAGTTAAGAAATTTATGTTAGTTAAGAAGAATAAAAAATAAATAACTGCATTGCATATTAAAATAATATGCAGATTTATATGCTAATATGATATTAGGAACAAAGTCATCTAATTGTATTGTGACACTTAGAAAAAATATGTTATAAAAATATAAAATATACATAATATTAATTATATAACAAGCACAGATTTTTAAGACTTAAAAATGTAAAATAAAAAAAATTAAAAATTAGCTAGTATTTTTTTTCTTTAGAAATATTGGAAAATATACCTTTCATCCATGTGAGCATATATGGCGCTCGGCATTTAAGACAACGACCAGTATGAAATGTTCCATGAGCTTCCACTAATTTCTCAGAAGGTAATCCGGCTATACGTTCCAATGTATCAATATTTTGTGTATAATGTCGTAATAGTAAACCTTTTTCCCATAACAGACGAATAAAGTAATGACTCAATGTAGGTCGGAATCCTTCTGGCAATAATTCTCTTGCAAGTGTGAAGAATGGTTCTGGATCTTTCATAAAAAAATCTAACTCAAAAATAGCTTGTGGATAAGGTAAATTATATTTATCTAATTTATGATAAAGTCCACTGGATGGAGATCGGAAATCTGGTATTCCAGCAGCTAAAACACAGATAAACATGTACATATTTCATGTATATTCATATTAGCATTTATAAGCATATTAATGCATTATTTTATAATCAATATATGACAACATAATAGTTATTATACGTAATGTTACTGTCATTGATTATAATAAAAAAAAATTGTATGCATATTTAAAATTTAAAAAAATAATAAAATAAGAAATATTAAACATAGAAAAAATGATCACAAATTAGAAATAAAAGGAATATTATAGAAGATATGTACATGTCTTTAAATATATACTAACAAGTAGAGATTCCAGCACCTGCCATAGTAATGATTTTACAATCTGGCTTTTCTTTAATAAACTTAACAATTCCATCTAAGCTAAGTTCATGAAGAACTCTTTGTTGCGACTGATCATTTTGATTACTCGTTGACAAATCAACAAGTCTTAATTTCTGAACCAAATATCTACGTAACCTTTCCATTTCAGAGTCTTCTATGTCTGATGATTCAGAAGAAACCTTTTGTGTTTTTTCATCTGAATTATTGTCTAAAACAAAGAAAAAATACTTGATATACATAAGCTACATATTGCATTTTAATAATAAATATTTTTAATAATCATAATGTTTATATATTATTTTATGTTAAAGAGTGATTTATATATAAAAAAGTTTAGAAGTTTTCGATATATTTATAATTTTTCTGATATAAAATTGTAAAAAAACTGAATGTTAATAAAATGATAATTATTTTTTATCATTTAGATTTTTATTTTTTTATCATTTAGATTAAAATCATTCTGAAAAAATCATTCAATTATTTAAAATTTATTCAATTAATTAAAATTTATTTAATATATTAACCTTCCAAATAAATTTCACACTTAAAAGCAAAATCTTATAAGCTGTTTAAATAAATATATATCTTATTCACATCAAATTAAGAAAATAGTTTGCATAAGACAATTTTGTTGTTGTTAACTGAACATCTTGCTTTTTTTCGCTTTTTCTTTCTAATGTTTAAATGTGTGTATATATATATATATATATATATATATATATATATATATATTTCATTCTATAATATACATTTCATTCTATTCCAGTTCAGTTAAAAATAACAAATCTCATATTTACATTATAAGAAAAAATATAAAATTACGGAAAGTAAACATTTACTTCATATCATTATTCTTATATGTATTTTTTGTTCTTTTCTGATTCAGAAAAATGAATGCACTAATTTCATTTAAAAATTACCTTTTCGATCTTCTTCAGTCTCCTTATCCATAGTGCAACTTAATGCAATTATATGCTTAATATATGGTTTTGAAAATGTGATTTGTATAAAGCTATCACATACAACGATACACTCACTTCGTTAATGATAATACACGCTATCCAACACAATCTGGACAGGAAACTTACACAGTAGAAAGAAATCTATTATATATGCAATGCAACTCTATTGTACTTCGATCTTTGAGTTGTACTTACAATTACAATAAACTGCAATATGCGCAGCTAGGGTCAGCAGTCGACAGTTGATAGAAACGATGGACAAACTCTGAATTGATATTGAAGACCCCACGCGGTGACAATGTGTAACTTCGGTTTTCAGAGTTACTAGAGGGTCATCTACAATGGCCGTAGCATAAAGCCGGATCTACATTGGTCGTATCGTAACGTCACTAGTTGTAAATCATTAGCAAATTGACCAACCATAGTCGATTATTTCAAAAATAATCAACCATGATCCGATTTCACCAACGCGAGTTAATCTAATCAGAGAGAAACCTTGAGAGAGTTTTGCTTTGTCTCGCTTTCATGTATATTTATGAAAGCATGTTGTTTTTAGATATATATACATATATACATATACAGGGTTGGGCAAAAGTCCGGAAACGGTCAAATATCTCGAAAAGGATCAACTATAGCGAAAAATTGTAAATAGCAAAGTTGTAGGGCTTTAAAAAATGTACCTAATGATGACTAAAAATTTTACTTTGAGTGGAGGACGAAGATCATATAAAAGTCAAATTGAATTTTTTAAATGGAACTGCCTACTTTTTATTGCATATTCTTATAGCTGACCTCGAGAGCTTTCCAAAACACTATAATAAAATATTTTTCCCTCAAGCATTTATCGAGTTATGAGGCTTCAAATCATTTCTTAATTTTACATAAACCGTAAAATATCTTGTAAAATATTCACTTTTCAATTATTTTACCTTAATACTTTTATGTACAAAATAATGAGAGGAATCAATTGGTCTAAAAAAAAACACATAATTGTTCCGAAGAAAAAATATGTAATTTGCAATTAATAATTACATATTTTTTCTTCGGAACAATTATGTGTTTTTTTTTAGACCAATTGATTCCTCTCATTATTTTGTACATAAAAGTATTAAGGTAAAATAATCGAAAAGTGAATATTTTACAAGATATTTTACGGTTTATGTAAAATTAAGAAATGATTTGAAGAATTAAAAAATATTTTTATAAATGTATTTATTTAATGTTAACTGTGCCCGAATTTTTTTATTCATTTTCTGTCCTCAATTAATTACGAAGAACGTAAAAGCGCGACGAGAGGAAAGGGAAAGCAAAAGAGATAAAATCGTAAGCTCGTCGCGTGGCAGTCGCGTGGTGTGTCATTGATGAGACAAAGATAGAATGATGGATTATCGATCCTTATCTGACTGTCCATCTCTGAATAGTTCGGACATGAACCATATCATAGACACAAACCATGTTTTGTTACCGAGCTTAATCAATAAACATAGTTCACGTCCACTTTGTCAGATGGCGCATCAAGCATCGAGAAATGTGCTCGTCGAGGCTGGTGGCCGCTCTCAGATTTCTCTCTGGTATAATAGCTGAGACGATTTGATTGGTTGACACGGTTTAACGCAAGTTACGCTTAAGCAACTTACGCCGCATGGAAAAGCACCCTGAGGTTTCCAATATCAATTCGGAGTTTGCCCGTCAATCCAGCCAGAATATATCAGAGGTCTTGACAATTTTGATTATTGTTATTATTATTATGGCAATGAAATTGAATTTTATCTTATTCAATCGTTGTCAATCCAAATTGTAAAAAAAAAAACAGGCGATTTTGATTGACGGACTGACCTCAATTAGTCGATTTAAAATGACGTTCGTCAAGTGAAGAAAAATCTTCAAAATTTTTCTTTTTATATATTGCATTTACAACAATATAATATTTTCCACAGTGACTATTATGGTAAAGAAATTATTATCTTTTTTTCTTGTTATATCAAAATCAATGTATGCTGATACAATCTGATAGAGAGTCTGCATCTTAATGTTTTATACATTACGTACAGAAAGAATTTGTCATGTGTGTATATATATATATATATATATATATATATATATATATATATATATATATATATTGTATACATAATTTTTTTTATTATTTTTTAAAATTTAATGTTTATTAATAAATTACACATATGTACAATTTAATTGTAAAAGTAATCTGTATCATTTTCCAGCACTTTCTTCCATCTGTCTAGCAAGTGAATTCTGGATCCATAAAAAATTTGATCTTTACTTGCAATGAATTCATCAAGCTATTTTCTTTCTCTGTGTTTAGTGAATATGCCAAGTGGAACAAGACAATTTAACTAAGTTCTCTTGATTACCATATGAAGCCAAGTATTATTGTGCAAAAATTTAACTAGGTGACCTTTTCCTGTACAAATATTTTCTATAGTTTATTCTTTCCTACTTCTCATTCAAATAAAATAACACAATAATAGTAATCAGCAATTTCGATTTTATCGGATTTATAGTAAATCACTTTTATTTGACTACCTTATTCAATCTGGTGCCTTTAAACTATTATTTGTTTTGATGTTGTACACTTTATTTAATAGAAAATTTTGAAATGTCGAAGAAATAAGAAAATAGTTTGATGAATTCATTACGAGCACAGATTGGACTTTCTGTTGGTGCAGAATGTATAATTTATTTGAAATATGAAAGAAAATGTTGAAAGATAATAGATTTATTTTGAATCGTACATATATAATTTGTTAGTAAACACTGAATTTCATAAAAATAATGGGACTTATTTATATATCATAAATATATATATAAATAAAAAAATTTACAAAATTTACAATGTACATATAATATATTTAATATAGATATTTAAAATAGATTTAAAATTTTCAGGACGACGATATAGCTGCTTTACAGAATCTGGAACAACTTATGACAGAATTTTTCTCTCTAGAAACAACTAATGAAAGAAAACGTACAATTGAACATAGTTTTCAGGAATTTGCTGCACAGATTGACTCCTGGAAACCGTGTTTGCATTTTTTATCTTCTACAAGCAATCACTATGTCAGTATGTTTGCTTTGTCTACTCTGGAGGTAACTGTATAATATGATTTTGTAATATGATTAATATTTTCTGATAATTTTTAATCTATGAATTATTTGACAGACAACTATAGGAAGACGATGGCCTATCCTTCCATGGGAGGATAGAGCTCTCACAAGATCTACTTTGTATACATTATCATTAGAAAGAGATGTAGCACCCTTTGTAAGAAATAAAGTAGTGAAATTGGTAGTAGATATAGCAAGACATGACTGGCCACATTTTTATCCCGATTTTTATTCTAACATTTTACAGGTTTGTATAAACAGAATAAACAGAATTGTTTTTCTTTCTTTTCATAAATAATGTATTTATAATGGATATGACTGTGTATAATTTTCTAATTTTTATAATAGCTATTAGATCACAAACATACAAGATTGTTAGGACTTATATATTTGAGAACAGCTTCGGAGGAATTAGCCACACCAAGGGAAGATCTGCCGATTCACCGAAAAAGCGAATTGTTCAGATTATTAAGTTCCCAAGTGCCTCTGACTTTAGATACACTTACAGGTATAATTGTATTATAGGAATCTAGAAATGTATATTGTATTGTGAATAATTTTATAATTTCTCTTTTTTGTTTGTCATATTAGTTCTTTTAAAAGAGACTACAAAATTGCAAAGTCGTTCTGGAACTGTGACACCACCTCCGTCACCTACCAGTGGACAAAGTCTAGCACCTGCACGTACAGTATTAGATGTTGAGGGATTGGCGACAGGCACTAGCGAAGTTTGCACAGCTACTCTTGAAGTTTTAGCACATCTGTTTAGTTGGATAGATCTATCAAGCAGTATCTCTACTAATTTATTGGATGCTATTTTTTCCTGTGCTAAATATTACGATGCAATGGTAGGATTTTACTTCAATGGCTAGAACATGAATTAGCAGAAAGAAAATTATTAAATATATATCTACATTTCACTAGAATGGCAAACAAATAGAAATGGCTGTTCAAGCTTTGACAACGATTAATGAGCTTTTGTATAGACCACTCTGCTCGCCTGACGCGACTGACACATTGTTATTAGAAATATTTCAAAATGGTATTGGTTTATTCCAATTAATGGAACGTCTAGATTCTATAGAGGAAAAGTATGGCGAATTTCCTTCTAGGAAAAATCTACTGTGATATTCTTATACAATATAATATGTTAACATAAAATACAAAATAAAATATATTCTTTCAGCTATACAGAAAAAATGACGGAGTTTTTACAATTATTTGTAACGAATCATCTGAAGAGGATGGAGTCAAGCTCAAAATTTCCAGTAAATACATTATTAGAAGTACTGTGTCATCATACGTTTCAACAAGTTTCCACCGTGAATGGTTATTTGCGTTGTTTAGACGTTTGGACTACACTTTTGGAGAGTACTCAGTCGCGATATTCTGCCGTCGCATTAGCCCTCGCTGAACGGATCTTGCAAAAAATAAGTTTCAAATTGAATGCTCGAGTATTAAGAGATCTCGATACGGAAAGTTTGGACGAGAATGTAGGTATAAATCTGTACATAACTTGTATAAATATAATTTAGAGATCAGAGATAATAAATCAAATACTTGATTAAATCTTATAATTTCTCTTTTTGCAGGAAGAGACAGAGTGGCAACATTTTTTGAGATGCAATGTAGAATGTTTAGCAAAAATCGCCGACATCTCGCCTGTTCCAATATTTACACTATTAGTAATTTATAATTATATATAATAAATTATATGTAAAATTATATATAACTATAATAATATCTATCAAATGTATTTTTATAAATGACAATATATTAATATTAGTTATAATATTAGTTATAATTTTTTTTTCAGTATCGTTCATGGAGAGAAGGATTAATTATTTTTGGAGAATTAGGTGCTGCTGTCGCCAATGGTCAAGTTATTTTATTAAATGATGCAGATGCAGCAAATGTCCATGCGCATTTGAGAGATCTTGCGTCGATTACACAAGCTTTAACAAGATTGTATTCTCTTTTTATTGGTAAGTTATTTTGAACAACTTTATTAATTTGTTTTACGCTAATAATACGATTATTTGTCGATAGGAGATCAAACAAATATCGACCAAGCTTTAGCTGAAGAAATTATATCGCAAACTTTAGATGCATGTATATTTGCAAGAGATAACCAATTATATAAAGCAACACTTCAACCAGCTGTCATCGTAATAGATCTTGTAGAAGTGTAAGTTCTTAACTACATCTCGTATATAATTTTTTAAATATGTACACCAATGCTGGGATTTACTTGCAACTTTCGGCCAGACTTAGCTTACGCCTACTAGTCCCCTCTTACCACTCGCGCCATTCGTAACTAAGGAGCGCTCAGGAATATGCGCGTCACAAATGTAATACGGTAATCTATCTATCTAAGTTCTTTTTATTGTTTATTAATAATAAAATAATTATAAAAATAATTATTCTATTATTAATTACGTTTCAAAATATTTTAAATTCTTACAGAACATATACGTAATTAATAATAGAATAATTATTTTTACTATTAATAAACAATAAAGAGAACTTAGATGATTACATTTGTGACGCGCACGTTCCTAAGCACTCCTTAGTTACGATTCTCTAACGGCGCGATCGATAAGGCATGAGCGGTAAGAGGGTAACAATAGTCTAAGAAATCTGGCCAAAAGTTGCAAATAAATCCCAGCACTAATGTACACTAACAACTATACAGGGTGGACCAATAACTCTGTCCACCTGGAATATCTCCGTTATTTTTAGAGATACAAAAATTTTGTACTTATAAAAGTAGTACGGTACCAAGAGGGCTGTAATATGCTACTAATAATTTTTTTGTAGGTGGAGGCGCTTCAGAAATTTCAAGGTCATCTCCATTTTTTTAAATGGAACCTCCCATTTTTTATTACCTATTCTTATAGCTTATCTGCAGAGCTTTCCAAAACACTATAATAAAGTATTTCTTCATCTTCATAAAATAATTTAATTATAATTTGATTATAATTTGTTAATGAAATAATTTAATTATAATTTGTTATTTTTTAATTTAAATTATATTAATAATTTTACACTTGAATTGTATAATTAACATATATAACATACATACATATATAACATATAATTATAACATAATTAATATATAATTAACATATATAACATACATAATTAACATATATTAACATATATAACATATATAACATATATAATTATACAGCGTGTCCTAGACCCGTACACCCCTTTTCTTTCAAAAACTAAGCATTTTAGAGAAAAACGTTTTCCACAAAAATTGTATGGTTTTGAGGGGAACATAAGTATCATTGGTTTGACCTTGAATCGTTAAGGTCAGATCAAGGATATCTTTAATTTCTTAAATGAAACTACTCATCTTTTATTGCATATTCTTATAGCTTATGTCGAGAGCTTTCCAAAACACTATAATAAAGTATTTTTTCATCAAATACTTTTCGAGTTATAAGGCTTGAAATAATATCTTAATTTTACATAAACCATAAAATATCTAGTAAAATATTCATTTTTTTATTATCTTACCTTAATGCTTTTATATATTTATATATAAAATAATGAGAGAAATCAATTGGTGTAAAGAAAAAATAGTTGTTTTTTAAAAAAAAATATGTAATTTGCAATTAACAATTTCATATTTTTTCTTAAAAACAATTGTATGTTTTCTTTGCACCAATTAATTCCTCATTATTTTGTACATAAAAGCATTAAGGTAAGATAATCGAAAAATTAATTCCTCTCATTATTTTGTACATAAAAGCATTAAGATAAGATAATCGAAAAATGAATATTTTACTAGATATTTTATGGTTTATATAAAATTAAGAAATAATTTCAACCCTCATAACTCAAAAAGTACTCACTGAAGAAATACTTTATTATAGTGTTTTGGAAAGCTCTGGAGATAAGCTATAAGAATAGGTAATAAAAAATGGGAGGTTCCATTTAAAAAAATGGAAATGACCTTGAAATCTCTGAAGCGCTTCCACCTACAAACAAATTATTAGTAGCATATTACGGCCCTCTTGGTACCGTACAAAATTTTTGTATCTCTAAAAATAACGGAGATATTCCAGGTAGACAGAGTTATTGGTCCACCCTGTATAATGATATAATCGTGAAAGCATTCATTATACCTTCATTTGTGTTTAGACATTCCCAGCTTTTGGCTTCTCTTCAAGCATGGTGTCATTGGATAGTTAGGAAACCAGAGAAAACAAAGGAGACACTCTGTCAACGTTGCATCGATTCATGTATTTGGGTGACGACATATACCACTCCCTGTGATCATTCACCACCTGTAAATCTTGTTCATTCCGCCGTTCATCTTTTTCAAAGTATCATCGCTATTTTGAAACCAATCCTATGGGACCAACCGATTTTTAGGAATTTAATTTCTACGGGCACATACCCGTACTTAAAACCAGATACAATCAAAGTTCTGCGAAGGGCATTGATAAATGGAATTATATTACCACCCGGTGATGCAGCGTTAAGGCAAAGATTGTTGGGTAAGCTGTCAGATTTTAAAAACTATATAAGACTATATAACTATAAAATATACAGCTTTTGTTTTTATAAAAAGATATATAAAGAAAATCTCTTATTTAGATACTATGATATTGGCCTTGTCTGCACCTCTGGGTATGCAAGGACAACCAGTGCCTTTAGAATCAACAATTTCAGTTACAATAATGCCGCTAACTCAATTATTAGAAGATTGTGCATCCTCGTCTACAACTATAAAGAAAATGTTACATTCGTGTTTAGAATCGATCATAAATAGAGCATTAGAGTTATTGTCTTATGTTATAAGATGTCAGGTTATATGTGAAGTATTACTTGGCTTCTTACATTCGGCATTTTCAGTATTACAACAACAATTAGGTCCTGAATTTATGCAAAATGCAGTTCAAGGCATGCTGCAGCTTTATACCAGGTTTGTATAAGATATTATTACAGTATAGAAACAGAGGTATTTAATCAAGATGTAATAGTAGATTGCGTTATCGAAGATGATATCCAAAAATATGCCTTTCGTTTTCCTTATTTTAATAAATAATATATTTTAATAAATATATATTTTCATTTATCAACATTTTTCTAAAAAGTTTTTAGAATTAAAATCGCTCTCTTATCACTTTTATGAACAACAAATGAAAAAATTATACATTATAACAATATTATATATTAATATTATACATATATAATATTATACATATATACTATTATATATTTTATACAAAAAAAAATTATATATTTAAAGCTCAAAAAGTATTTTAATCACTTTACTTAACAGAGTAATTACTTAATTTACAGAGAAAATATTTCTGCTGGTCCTGCATTGGATCAGTTGTTAGAAATTTTGATACTCGTCGTATCAGCACCTGGCAATGCATTTAAGGCATTTGTCCCTTCTGTTACAAGTCTATGTTTAGGTCAAGTATGGCTTGCAATCGGAAACAGCCTAAGTGCTCATCCGGATACAACATTAGTTTTATTAAAACTTTTCCATAGGTAATATATTAATAGCATATATTTTTATTTCTATTTTAGAGAGAGAGAGAGAGAGAGAGAAAGAGAAAGAGTGGAGAGATCAATATCTTCAAAAAATTATTAATTTTTAGTATTCTTATGCATCGATGGCAATATTTCTATAATACTTCGATATTACGTACTCTTGGACATCCCGATGAAGACGAACCTATCGAGCATAAAGAAGAATTAGTAGCTATTTTAGAGGCATTTGGTCAAGCTCTACTTCAATCGGATGTTAATATATTTCGACAGAGTTTGCAAAGTCTCGAGCAATTAAATATCAGGTGGCGACTTTATCAACGAGCCATATTTAAGGCTCATCTTCTCGAGAGGTTTTTGATGGCATTGTTTACAGTTTTATTTCAACAGTAGGTATTATTCTTTATCGATAATATATTTCTTATTATTAATTATATTTATAATGTATTAATTTTTATAGGTCTCACAATTTGCTGGCGGACGAAATAGCTGTCGCTATTCACAGTCTAGCATCTGTCAATATAGGGTGGTTCTTTGGCCATTTTTTGCCAACGTTTTTGGCAACTTGCGAAGGTGTCGACGATATGCAGAGAGCCACGTTGTTGGGAAATTTTGATAAATCCACGGTACATTTAACTTTTAGCATTTTTTAAATATAAAAATATATAATACGCTTGTGATAAAACAAAACAAACTTTTTTTTCTTTTTTTAGGATCAACCAACTTTGACAAGATCAGTTCTTCAGCTTATTTCAGACTTAAGATGTTATCAACTGTGCAGACCGGGCTGAAAGCAGTATATTAGGACGAAATTGCAATTTAAAATTATTTCATAAGACTTCTACGATGCCATTTAGAATTGAAAATCAACATTTTTATCAAATCTCTCCTGTGTGTGAGTGCCTCTAGATACAGATATAAGGGACATTAACTATGATAAAACAAAGAAAAGCAAAAATTTTATAAACATTTACTGTTCTGTGTATGTCACTGCCATGCCATCCTTTTGTGATATTGTAAATGCCATTATATTATGTATAAAACATGCCTTTTTTATATGTCTATAACTATACTTATAATTTTCAGATTTTTTTAGATCTACTTTTCCACTTTTTATAGAAATATGTAATTCTAATATACGTATTGGCAAAAATTGCAGTGAAAAATAATATTATTTACCACAGAGATTGTGAGTAAATTGTTAATAACTTGTTCACATTACATATATTGATCATTAATTGATTCAGATACATTACCTACCATTTGTTATAAACGTAGAATTTTTGTAACATACATACATGAATTAAATGCCACATAAATTATACAAGCAATTATTGTGATTAAAAATGTAAAAACTGTTTTTTCTTCTAATAAAAAGTAAACGTTCAAAAAATATATATTATTTTTGCATTAAAAAGAAAATAAATTTAATTTTCATTGATAATATTTTTTTTCATATTTTTTAAATAAAATATAAATATATAAAATTTTTGTATTTTTAATTTATATGTATATTTAATTTTTTCGAAAGTAATTTTAATAAATTAATGAGATCTTTGCGGCAAATTACATCAAACAATATGATTTCAATAATTTTTAGTTAGCATAAAAATTATCTAAATTTTGTCATATTTGATATCAAGCTATACGGAAAATAATTGATATTAGCAGAGAGAAGCCTGAGAGGGGCCACGCTGCCATTTTTCATGAGACGTTTTCCCTACGTCACAGTATACAGGGTGTCCCATTTTAAGTGTCCACCTCAAAAATCTCTCATTTTTTATTTTAGAGAAAAATGGTTAGGACATGTTTTGTATGGTTTCGAGGGGGCCATAAGATGGTACCATTGATTTGACTTTAAAGAGTCATTTGAAGGTCACGTGAAGGTTACCTCAATTTTTTTTAATGACACCCCTTATTTTTTATTACATATTCTTGTAGCTGATCTCGAGAGCTTTCCAAAACACTATAATCAAATGTTTTTTCGTGAAGTACTTTTCGAGTTATAAAGCTCCAAATTTACAAAATTTTGATAAAAATACAAAATATTTCGTAAAACACTTTCCGATAGTCTTATCTTACATGATCCAGCCAGTCAAGGCAAGATCCGAGCATGATTCAGCCAGTCAAGGCAAGATCTTCTTTTGTGTACAATTACTTTAAATGTTCAAAAACTTGACCATTTACTCGTATGCATAGCTCCCCAGTAAGCAAAAAATTATTACTACAACGTTATTTAAATGATATTCACTAACATATATATATATATGTACATATATATATATATATATATATATATATATATATATATATATATGAGTGGATATAATTTAACTACGTTCGAAATGGCCACGGATAAATTTGAAACGGCCATGTTCGTAATGGTCATGTTTGAAACGGCCACGCTCGGAATTAAAAAAAAAAACATTGACAGTCTACATAAAGAGGTACACTCAAGAATTACACTTAATCGACACTTCTTCGCTGTGGCTACATACACACATGATGCGCGGCTATTACGAACGAGTGGCCATTACGAACGTGGCCATTTCGAACGTGGTCAAATTTATCCGTGGCCATTTCGGATGCTCCCATCGTTGTGCATTTGACATGTAAAAATGGGTGTGTTTCACATCACTACAGTAGCGCTACTGTAGCGCTACATATAAGCGTGTTTCACGTTATTAAAGCGCTATAGTACCTAGACAGCACACATGTCCAAAAAACATCTAAAAGACGATTTAAAAACGTCTTCTAGAAAGTCCTCTATATAGACATCTTTAAGACATCTTTTGGCCTTTTTATGCTGTCTGGGTAGCGCTATAAAAGTACGTTTCAGGACTTTCTGCTACAATTGTAGCGGTCGCCATTTTTTTCTGCTACAATTGTAGCAAAAAAGCTGAAGCGCTACTGTAGCGATGCGACCCCGAAACACACCCAATATATGCACAATAACACGTATCAATGTCGTTATCTTATCGTTTAGCGAGTTATAGAATCATACTACAAGGAGAATCGATCCGCACAATCGTTTAATTTAACGTTTTAACGAACCTAAATTTTGAAAAATAAATATGTTATAATCTCGAGTTTGCTATTATTGCTGTAAATATGTTCTATAATTTCTTTTCTTTTTGTTTACATAATATAATATATTTTGTTAACATAATATGAATATTCTTAGCCTCCAATAATTTCATTAATCCTTGTTTTGCAGGGGCTTTGTCACTTAAATTTCCGGACAGCGACCTTGATATCCCTAACAGTACATGATATCATTCGAATATTCTGTAAATATACTCATACTATAAATATACAGATACTATAAATATACAGTTACAGATGTAATATACTGAGAATAATCCCATAACATCTCTTGTTGCATTTTATTTTTCATATATTCTCAAAATATACTTTGAATATCTCGTATTAGTATATTCTTTCTCGTATATTTTCAGGATATTCTACAATATTGCATGTGTTTCCTCATTTTGCCGCTACGCGCACTATCAAACTCGTACTTAATTTTTGGTGAAATGGACATAAAGGACTGGTACTAACATGAAATTAGGGGGATTGCCCGATTAGACACAGTACGATTAGATATAGCCAATTATATCGACCGATGCTTAGGGTAACCAGCACGATCAAGCACGATTAGCCAATCAAAGCCAGTTGTGTCCAATTGTACTGTGTCTATTCGGAGGTGTCTCGTCTACAGTAGGGTGCAACTTTCCACGTGAAGCGAGATTCCACTTTGCAACTTTCCACGCGAAGCGAGGGGGACAGAGCGAGTGCGGGAGGAGGGGCCGAAGGCCCTCCTTGCACCCGCCACCGTGTGTGTGTTGTGCGCGCGCATGCGTGCGCACTAGTGCCATTAGTATGACAAATATTCTAACTTAAATAGTAGTTAACTTTAATCGTGAATATTTCAATTCGTGGTGCAGAGCGACGCTTTTTCTGATAGATTCTTAATTTTATGCAAAAACGCGACGATTGACCCTAAATTTATTGATATTTATGTAAAGTCTTGTCATAAGAAATTAATCAATCATATTCGATTACTATTTTATATTCAACTGTGATTGGTCAATTCCTTAAGGCTTATTCCTATTGTAGATTCGGCCTTAATGCAAAAATTATTTTTCGTTTTTAAAGCAAATAATGAACCAACAAACATTATAATTAGGCCAACAATCATCCAAACGATTTCGCATCGATTGAACTGCTTTTTAAACGAAAATGAGAGATTGAACTGCCTTTTAAACGAAAATGAGAATTTTAAATGAAATGTTTCGGCTAACTTCACGTTGATTTTTGTTTCTTTATTTTACAAAAAAATATAAACCAACAAATTATAAGCTGTAATTAGGCCAACAATCACCAATAAACGACCAACAAACGATTTGCTATAAAAAAAAATTGAAAAAATCGAAGTTGGCCGGCTAAGTTCATGGAGCCAAATATTTGAGTAATAATTGGAACTTAAGAATATTATTTTGATAATAATTTTGTACTTACAAATATCGTTTCATTATCGGCGGGCTGCATCATGACGAATGCGCGGTTTCATCCAAAAGTAACCTTACCAATACGTCACAAATTATGCAATAAAAATGGGATGTTTTGATTGGTTAACTCGTGATGCGCCGGCTGACGCGATGCGAGACGCGCTCAGTGGAAACTCGGCCTCACGCTCACATGAGAACATTCAAGAAGCTTCTAGACGCCCTCTGTTCCATATATTACCCCTTTTTATCATTCAATTGCGCAATCAAAGAATCGCACAGCGTTGCGCAGCATCTATCGTAATTTGTCGAACGAAGTCGAGGGATCAAGAATCAAGTTCAACTCAGATTCGCGCATTGCGAGAGTATCTTTCGAGTCATTTCGCAAGTCGATCTAGTAAAAAACAAGAGAAAATGCCACGACGTGGACGCGCTGCCGCACCTCCTCCAAGAATGTAAGTCAATACAAATTTCATCATCTTGATATCGATAATGCGTCATTTCTGCATGGCGTTATATCACGTAGTCGTAGTCTTCCAGAAACGTAGATATTTTAAATGTCCATCTCCTGATTGTACTCGACTTCGACGAATGTCTCTGAAATTGTCTGAAACTTTTGTTTTGTTTCAGCATGAGACCGGCCGTGATTGCACCCGCGTCCGTGCCATCCCGAGTCCCAGCTCGAGTCCCAGCTCAAGCCCCACCATCGGCACCCATGGTGGCCCAGCCACAGCAACCATCGCTCATGGGCCAGATGGCCGCTACTGCTGGCGGTGTAGCCCTCGGATCTGCCGTGGGACATACCATCGGTCACGCCATGACTGGACTCCTCAGTGGAGGATCCAGCGAGACTGCTGCTGCTCCTGCTGCACCGCCGGCTGCGACCCAGGTTGCCCCAACACCAGCCCCCGGAGGTGCTTGCTCATTGGAGGTTAAGCAGTTCCTGGACTGTGCCGAGAATCAATCTGATTTGAGCCTATGCCAAGGATTCAGCGAGGCACTGCGTCAGTGCAAAATTGCCAATAGTCAGTAATCTTGTTGGATGTTAATTTGTCACACTAATGTTATTCTTTCTAATATTTTTATAAACAGTCCCACTAATTGAATTTATAATTGTCTTGTTTTTTGTTTTCAGATATCTAAATTAATGTAGAAAACGAAAAATCTAGAAATTTTCTAGGTGAAATTCAAGTATATGCTGTAATTATATAGATAAAGATATCCTATATGTACAATGAAAAGCTTTGTTTATTTTTATCATATGCATTAATATTATTAAATGCAATATAAACCAACCTAGGATTTTGATCCATATTTGTTTTAGTTTATACAAATTTTAGAAAAACAATAAATAATTAAATTTTATACAAATGGCTCATTTTTAATCTACCTTATACTAAAAATACATGTAACAATAGCATAATTTAAATGAAAAAATGTAAAGTATAGTTTGGAAATTATACTAACAAGAGGAGGGCGCGACCTTCGAAACACCGAATTAAGATTATGGTCAAAGATACACTGAAGATGCTTCGAAGCATTTGATTGACCAATCAAGTTCAAGAAATCTTTACTCCTTTTATCCTGATTGATCAATCGAACGCTGCAAAGCATCTTCAACATCTCTTTGATCGCACTACAGTGGGCCAAGAGATCCAAATTCTTTGCCAAAAATCAAATATGGAATTTAAGTAATAGAAACTATTCACGTTTTTATAAATCCTATAGAGTACTTGAAAATCGACTCTAAAGGTGCCTTTACATGGGAGCGTCTGAGTATCGAGCGTTAAAGCGTCGTAAAGTGTGACATACGCAGGTGCCTATGGCCGGTATTCATAGTCCGATCTTATATTTGAGATAGTCTTAAGTAGAGAACCTCTAGGAGAGAGAATGGACAACTGATCATGTGACATGTGATCAAGCTTTTTCATGATTGGCTGGCAGAAAATGTATCAATTTTAGCTATTGCGACGCCAATGCAAAATATGATGCACACAAATAGGTTAATATATGTGTGTCATGTGTGTCCTATTTGTGTGTCATCATATTTTGCATTGGCGTCGCAATAGCTAAAATTGATACATTTTCTGCCAGCCAATCATGAAAAAGCTTGATCAGTTGTCCATTCTCTCTCCTAGAGGTTCTCTAGTCTTAAGTTCGAGCTTGAAATGCTACGCAGCTATTTGATTGGTTGAATGAGGTCTTAAGTCAACCTCCAAGCAGACTTAAGACGATCTTAAATATAAGATCGGACTATGAATACCGGCCTATGTCAATGGGTGTGTTTCGGGGTCGCATCGCTACAGTAGCACTACTGTAGCGCTACATAAGCGTGTTTCACGTTATTAAAGCGCTATAGTACCCAGACAGCACACATGTCCAAAAAACATCTAAAAGATGACTTAAAAACGTCTTCTAGAAAGTCCTCTAGACATCTTTAAGACATCTTTTGGCCTTTTTGTGCTGTCTGGGTAGCACTATAAAAGTACGTTTCAGGACTTTCTGCTACAATTGTAACGGTCGCCATTTTTTTCTGCTACAATTGTAGCAAAAAAGCTGTAGCGCTACTGTAGCGATGCGACTCCGAAACACACCCATTGTATTAGCGTTAAGGTGCGGCCTCATTGACGCTAAAAAGTAGCGTCAACCATTGGTTGAACAAAGAAGTAAGTAGTTGCTTCATTGTTCAACCAATGGTTGACGCTACTTTTTAGCGTCAATGAGGCCGCATCTTAAGGTGCAATTTCATTGACGCTAAAAAGTAGCGTCAACCATTGGTTGAACAAAGAAGCAACTATACTTACCTCCTTGTTCAACCAATGGTTGACGCTAATTTTTAGCATCAATGAGGCCGCACCTTAAAGGTGCAATTTCATTGACGCTAAAAGTAGCGTCAACCATTGGTTGAACAAAGAAGTAAGTAGTTGCTTCATTGTTTAACCAATGGTTGACGCTACTTTTTAGCCTCAATGAAATTGCACCTTAAGATGCTGGAATCTGCCTGTTTAGAATTATACGCAAGGGTGCTGCGCATGTGTTTTTGACGCTCGACGCTAAATGCTTCCATCTAAAGACGCCTTAAGGTGCAATTTCATTGACGCTAAAAAGTAGCGTCAACCATTGGTTGAACAAAGAAGCAACTACTTACTTCTTTGTTCAACCAATGGTTGACGCTATTTTTTAGCGTCAATGAAATTGCACCTTTAACGTACATATTCATCGATTAATATCATTGGGCGGCACTTTAAACTTAAAAAACCACATAAAATCAGTAATAGGAAACATAGTGCATTGACTAAAGTATATTTTCGAAAAATTTTGTCATATATAGTTTTTTTTTGTATTTTTGCATTTATAAATGTTGAAAAAATTTTTTCAATTTTTTTTTATAATACAATATTAAAATATAATTAATTTGATCAAATTTGTGTTTCTTTTTAATTTGCACTATCAAATTAATTTAATTTAAAATATATTTTATATATTCCGATATAAAATGAAATATAAAATACCATTATTATATTAAATATAAATTAATATAAACACTATAATTATTTAAATAAAGGTATAATTTAATAAAATGAAATTACAAATGCAAAAAATTGTATTTTTTTATTCATTATCCATTATCTAGGCCGAAATTCATAGTCCGATAGTCTTATATTTAAGATTGTTTTAAGTCTGGTCTTAGGTCATCTTAAGATTCTGTTCAGCCAATGAAATAGTCGTATAACATTTTCAAACTTCTTTTTTTTATTTAAGATAATCTTAAATATAAGAACAGACTATGAATACCGGCCCTACATTCTCTCTAGATCGAGTATAATTGTTTGGGTGATAACTATATTTAAATAATAGCGTTTCATATTTCTTTTATATCGAAATATATAAAAAAGATTTTAAATTTAAAAAAATTTAATAATGCAAATGAAAATACAAAATTGATCAAATTAATTATATTTTAATATTGCAGATTACATTATAAAAAAATGAAAAAAAAGATTCAAAAGATTAGGATCAAATTTTGACTTGCAGCATAATAGTTTCGGGCTCTACCGCCTTTTCGACAACTCACCGATATACAAAATATCAGTATTTTTTCAATCGGTTTTTTTCGAAAATGGCAAACCATTGGCCTCTAATATTTTACCCAAGTATTCTTTAGGCAGAGTACTATATTGCATTAAAGTATGATTTAATTCGGTATTCCGAAAGTCGCGCCCTCCCCTTGTAAGATCTGACGTGATAATTTTTTTTTCAAAGATAGATAAGAATGCATCATAGAAAAATAAAGATGACATTAACAAATAATATACAATGCATCACGTTTTTCTTCCTTATTTTATATATATTACAATACATTTAAATAATAATTTATATTATAAGATGAAAATAGTTCTTACAAGATGATACATATCGGAAGAGAAAACAGTAAATAAAAACTGGAGTATTCTGACCAGAATAAAATAAGCGCACATTGCTACACAAAAGTATTTGCACTTATCGCGTAATTCTCTCTCTAATACTTGGCTATTTTATATTTTGAAAATTAGAGTATGATTTATGAATATATATATGTATATGTATATGTACGTACACCGCATATTCAGCCTATATAACGCGATTATCTATAATAACGGATTTCTCTTTCTTTAATCGATAATAGGAGGCAGTTAAACGCGCACGAGTAGCACGAATATGGTAGACTATCTTTTTTCTGTATTTAATACGCGCATCATTACGTAACCAGCGACCGTAGCGACTGCGATTCCAAGTCCTGCCTTCCACCACACCAAGGAATCCCCTTGCATTAGGCCGAATTGATTTATGTGTCTGAAATGTCCAAGTACAAAACTTTGCTGCAATAATTCGAATGTATGAAAAATTTCAAATGTTTCAATATGATAAAACTACAAAGTCAATCTTAAATAATCTTAATTATTTTAACGATGCACCACGAGCACATATAAACACAAGTGTAGATGAAATTCTGATCACAATTATGACAATGAAGTTTTATCATATGCGATAAGCAACATTAGATCGAAAGAGAAATCTCTCCTGTTAGAATATTTAAGCATATAAATTAAACCAAATTGACGAGAAATTTGCGAGAGATTGACCGTGTTGCATGCTCATGCTTCAATGAAAAGCGGTCGATTTATTATTAAGCTACGACTCGTGACAACTGAACGCGAAGAAGAAATATACAATCAATAATACGAAATAAAACCTTGTGAAAGAATTCCACCACTGAGAGGGTGAGGTTTCGACAAGCAACATGTGGACCATACGCCTCAAATGGCTGAAAAGAGCCAATATGTTGTTACGTATAGTTTCATCCGTGCGATGACCAAATTTTCTAATATGTGAGCAAATCGCTCGACAGTACATTTAATATGACAAGATGGAGTTAACGTGAATGCATGCATTGACAGGAATGTTGACACAATGATGATGGTTAAATGCAGTTTTTACGATTTGCTCAAGCTTCTAGATCTTTACACAGTGCGAATTGAAATTTGGACCAACCTGTCTCTGTAAAATAATACCCATGCTCCTTGAAAGCGGCTAAACACGAAATATCTTTTTGTTAATACCGATTGTTTTTTTTTTTAATTTTATATTACATTATTATCTTTCCTTAAAATTAAAGAAAATATAAGAAAATAATTGGGGAGATACCTTGAAAAACATATAGAAATAAATGCAAATCATTGTTGCCTCAACATAACTTCACATATGAATATAAATATAAAAGAAGAAACAAGCGAGAAAGCTCTAAGTCTCGACATAATCGATATACTTTTAAATATATCGATTAAAAAGAAAAAAAGTCGTCTATTTTTTCTAAATTGAAAAAGCCTCGAAATCTATCTGGACGTTTCGTTACTCTTTTCTAATTTATGACAGAGAAAATTTAACTTACGGAAATGCTGCCATTGTAGCTAGTTTGACGAAGATTTCACGGCGTATTGTGCGCGAAATACTGTACGGTTGTGGAGGCATCAGTTTGTATTTGCTGCAAAAAGCAGCCGGTTGCAGTAGATATCCTTGTTTCACTTCGGAAAGGTCGCTTTTGTTCGCTACTATCAGAACAGGAATTTTGCTATCGGCAAAGTATTTCTGTAAAAGCATACATATGTTTATCATAAAAATCATATAATCAGTCTAATGAGATCATTACATTAGATACGAGAAAGTACTCACAATATAGATACGTGCTATATATTCGAACGATTTTGGATTACTGGCATCGTAAACGAGAGCCGCCGCATCGCACTGTATTTCTGCTGGCGTTAAGGCGTCCTGCACATTCAGCACGTTTATATCCTTCAATACCACCATCTTTTCCTGCCCATATACATGCAATGTATTCACAGTAATATGGGCATTTGACGGTACCGTCTCATCATTTAATTTCTAGAATCATACAAAGATAATTATAATACATGATCAAGATTTTTTATCTAACTTCAATTACAGGGTGTATCAGACCACCCATGCCAGCCGAATATCTCAAAAACCGAGAACGATAGACAAAAATGTTTCCTACAAAAGTTGTAGGGTTTCGAGTAACGCATTACATAGTAATATTAGTATGATCTTGAATAGTGTTGTCAAGGTCACGTAAAGATCACCTTCAATTTCTTAAATGGAATCCCCCATTTTTCATTACATATTCTTGTAGCTTATTTCGAGAGCTTTCCAAAACACTATAATAAATTATTTTTCCATCAAGTACTTTTCAAGTTATGAGGCTTGAAATCGTTTCTTAATTTTACATAAACTATAAAATATCTTGTAAAATATTCATTTTTCGATTATCATACCTTAATACTTTTATGTAAAAAATAATGAGAGGAATCAATTGGTGTAAAGAAAACATACAGTTGCTTTTAAGAAGAAATATGGAATTGTTAATTGCAAATTACATATTTTTTCTTAGAAACAACTATGTGTTTTCTTTACACCAATTGATTCCTCTCATTATTTTGTACATAAAAATTTTAAGGTATGATATTCGAAAAATGAATATTTTACAAGATATTTTATGGTTTATGTAAAATTAAGAAATAATTTCAAGCCTTATAACTCAAAAAGTACTTGATGGAAAAATAATTTATTATAGTATTTGGGAAAACTCTCAAAATAAGCTACAAGAATATGTAATGAAAAATGGGGGATTCCATTTAAGAAATTGAAGATGATTTTTACGTGACCTTGACAACGCTATTCAAGGTCATACTAATATTACTATGTAATGCGATACTCGAAACCCTACAACTTTTGGAAATATTTTTGTCTGCCGTTCTCGGTTTTTGAGATATTCGGCTGGCACGGGTGATCTGATACACCCTGTATTATAATATTATTAATAAGTGATAATTTACCACAAGTTTAGGATCGATAAAAGTTCTGCATAATGTAGTTTTTCCACTGCTTTTCGGACCTATCACATGACAGGTGTAAACGTTTCTACTCGATTGCTTCTTTGCTAGATCTACTTTCTTTTCACGAGTCACGATAATTGAACTCGTTTGAGACTCGTTATGATACATATTGTAGCCTAAATACGCCATATATTCCAAGGTCTTACGCACGTTCGTCAGTGTCAATAGCGCCCATTGGCACATGTATCCTTGGAACGTAATCCATCCCTAAGCATTATTATATAAATTAAATTATGTTCAATTATATTTTACTAATATAGCTTTCCGGTTCTCAGAAACAGATATACCGGTTTTTTATCATTTTACATATATGTTTTTTTACATTTTACAAATATTTTTCTAAGAATAATAAAGGCGAAAATAAACCTTTTCGTTTGTGGATACAGTGTACTTGTATTCGTCGCCCCATGGTGGGACGAGGCAACGCGAGAACAATGACTCCATTTCTAAGGGCGAAAGCGCTCCGTCACGATCGCGATCATGTTGCATAAACAATAATGTCAAAAACTCCTGTCCCTTATGTGATAATTCAGTCGTGCAGCCAGGCGGGACTTTTAATCTAAAATAAAGATATTTAATTATTAATATGAAAATATATTAATTTAAAATATATTAGTAACGTGACTCTGTTGTCTTCTTTATACATACGAAGGATGAATATATTCTTTTGACATTTGCAGCTCGTTATCATATCCGAATTTTCGTAACACAGCCCAAGTCGTTTCGTTCCTTCCACGTTGTATGAATAAACATTGTAAATACATAAAACCTATATATAATTAGAGATAATTATATTAATAGCTTTAGTATATCTTGTATAAGTTTAACATTGAATTAACTGCATACCTTTCATCGTGACACATCCGTTACATATACCATCACAAATATTTTTTGATAACACAGCTTTTACATCCTCCAGTACTTGTGGTTGTAATGGTGTGTTGAAGCACCACTGTTGAAACGCATTCAACTCCATATCATTTAAAAGATTATCGTTATCTACATCGCATATCTATAAGAAAAAAAATAATGTAATAGAGAATTTGTAGAAATAAAGAGGCCAATATATACAATATATTTATTATATTACTTTATGCAATTATTTTTGAAATTAATAATTGTTCAAGAAAATAGTCAATAGAATTATATAGTTTAAATAGAGTTACACTCAAGACTGTAAGCAACTATAATTTTTTTTTAAATAAAGTCACATATATATAATTCTTTTAAAATAATTTATATAAATTACTTCTTTCAATGATTTTGTATAAAACAATTTACTATAAACATATTAAGATATACAAGTATCAAAAAATATATATTTTAGAAAATATTTTTACTTTTCATATTATAAAATAGAATATATATATATGTAGAAATAAAAATAAAAAATCCTGCATAACTATGGTGCATACTTACTTTAAAGACTCGCTTTAGGGCAGTTTTGCATTCCTCCGTGAGCTAGAATAGGAAATATTAATAAAGTTTAATCAGAAAGCTTAAATTAAAAAGTAACTAAATATATAAATATATAAATTATAAATATATATATATATATATATATATATATATATATATATATATATCACCTCCTGTGTGTCATAATTGTACAAAGGTGTGGTAGGATGCAAAACTGCTTTTTGTGCATAATAAAATGTTTCTGAAACATTCTGAAGTGTTTTCGCCGAGCACTAAAAACAGATAAATTATATTTCTTTATAGCTTTCCTCCAGCTTCCTTCATTATATATCATATTAATCAATCTTACCTCTATGCAGCTCTCAATCTCTGTAAACTCTTTCATAATGGGGTACACAGCCTTGAATTGCAAATGGAAACAACAATTATTAACACTATTAAAATAAAATAAATGCTTGCTATTTAAACCTTTTTACAAACCTCAATAGTGGAATAATCTACCAGGTCGATCTTATTGCCTACGAGCACAACTGGACATCGATTGTCAGGCGAACATCTTCTGATTAAGGGTAACCAATAGCTAGCGGCTCTATCCAGAGTATCTTCGTCGTCCACAGAATAAACCACGCATATCACATGCGCCTTCTGAATCTCTTCCGCCAGTTGATCATCCGTTTGCTCCACCGCTGTAAACATGTAGTATAATAGTGAGCGACAAGTAATAAAGAAAGGAATGTACATACAGAGCACTGTACGATACCTGAATAATCGACTATATGCGTCGGCACCTGTTCTGGCGTGACGTCGGCCGGTATCGTGATCTCCTCAGCCTTGCTGGGCACTTCCTCCGCGTATTCTTCACTCACCAGAGACAATATTAGGGAGGTCTTGCCGACACCTCGCTCGCCGATCAACAATATTCTCACGTTGCGCCGAGGCGCGACCGGACGTTGCACCATGCTGTCTAAGCACCGTAATGATTATTGCATACAGCTTTCGCCGTGTTTCAATTCCTCGCGGATGGCATCCTTCCGGAGGAGAGGGAGAAAGAAAGAGAGAGAGAGAGAGAGAATCTCAATTAACACCGCAATGTATAACCTATGAGCGGACGTCAACAATCCGCAACACTCCCGTCGAGTGTCATCGATCGTGATTCTCTTCACGGTGACATTTTGATGAGGCGATGAAGACAACGATAAGGATGACGACAATGAGGATCAACGAGGCATCTTTACCTCTGCTCGTTGAAAATGATTATTTTGCACTGTGTCGCAATGTTTTTTGGAAGAGAAGGATTGTGGCCAATTGCGATTACAGTTAAAAACAGACTAATAGTAAACTCTGATGGATTCACTACAGAACTGAAACGTGTAGTAGCGCTTCGAGGGTGGTCTTTTCAAGGTTACCTATGCCACCGCAATGAATGGTGTTATGTGTGTGTGGATCTATGTATAACGGTACCGCATGTGTACGAATGCGCGCGCGCGCGCATGTGTGGTGGGGACTCGTTACACTTTGCGCTTTAATTATTTCTCTTTCGCTTTCCAGTTCACGTGTGTATCTGTAATATATATAACGGATAAGAAAAAAGATATTTTTTTACGTCTCATCTCTCCTGCTTGGAGAGATGAGACATAATTTTTACACACAATAGAAAAAAATACTACGGCAAACCCTGCCGAAAATGATCGATTAAAATAACCGATTAAAATAAAAAGTAATTCGAATCGATCGGGATTTCTGTATCAAAAGCGGTATTAAAAAGGATTGAAATAAGCGAAGTCAAAAATAAAGTTATTATATTCATATATCTTAAAAATTTCTTTAATGAGATATCTTTTAGATTTCTGCAAGACCTTGATGTTATTTGGGATATTTGAAATTCAATGATAAATAAAACTTTATAATAAATGTAATTTTGTTTCTTCATTTATATATATACACACAGTCGAATATAATAATATTCCCCCATAGCAAAAAAAGTCACAGTGATATCACAATAATATGTCACAATGAAATCACAACAAAGTGACATGCAAATGTCCGCTTTGTCACAAATGTGATATCACTATGACATCATTGTAATATTATATAAAATGTCATTGTGAGGTTTACACACACATACATACACACATCCAACAAAATGATCTTGTATATATATATATGTTTTTTCAAAATAAATTTAATTTATTTCATGATCTACATTTTTGGTTTTGTAAATATACATACATATGTATATTTAAAAATCCAAATATATATGTATATATATATATATATACATATGTATGTATATTTAGAAAACCAAAAATGTAAATCATGGAATAAATTAAATTTATTTTAAAAAACTTATATAGAGTGTCCCAAAAGTCCCGGACTGGTCGAATATTTCATAAACTATGCACTTTAGAAAGAAATGTTTCGAACAAAAGTTGTATGGCTTGAAGGGGGCCATTAGATAATGCCAATGATTTGACTTTGGAGAGTCATTTGAAGGTGACGTAAAGGTCACCTTCAATTTCTTAAATGGAACTCTATTTTTTATTACATATTCGTGTAGCTTATCTCGAGAGCTTTCCAAAACACTATAATAAAGTATTTCTTCATTGAGTACTTTTCGAGTTATGAGGCTTGAAATCATTTCTTAATTTTGCATAAACCATAAAATATCTAGTAAAATATTCATTTTTCGATTATCTTACCTTAATACCATGTAAAAATAATGAGAGGAATCAATTGGTGTAAAGAAAACACATAGTTGTTTTTAAAAAAATATGTAATTGTTAATTGCAAATTACATATTTTTTTCTTAAAAACAACTATGTTTTTTCTCTGGGCCTAAGGTCCAGTTCCACAATCCAGTTAATCCGAGTTTAAGTAGTGAATAGACCAATCAGGACTCAGTTTAACGTATTAAACTCGGATTAACTCGAATTGTGGAATCGGGCCTAAGGGGAGGAATCCCAAATCCCAATTGCGCACAGAATGAAACGGACACAATCAAATCGACCGATGCTTAGAGGTCTAGCACGGTTGACCAATAGAGAGTCCTGTGTCCGATTTATTCTGTGCGCAACTAAGCCTCACTCAATTAAGGACAATTAAACTACGATTAAAAATTATAACTAGTGTCACATTTTATTTTGATATATACTTAACCTATTTGTTATCTGTAACCTATTGTTTCGGACATGGCACATTTTTATGATGTATTGTCATCTTCTGATGATGAAGAAATTTTTCAACAAATTAACAGAAGAGAAAGAAAAAATTTAAAGTGCACATTAATTTTTTCGAAGAATTTGACAACATTGAATTTAAAATGCGATTTCGTTTAAGTAAAGAGTCAGTATTATTAATACTGGAAAATATTACAGAAGAATTAGAGTTTTTAACTAATAAATAAGTTTTTTATAATTATTTTCTAATAATTATTTTCTAATAATATAATTATTTTCTAATAATAATTTTATAATTACATAATTATATAAAATTAAATTTATACAAATAATATATATTTTTATTTTTTAGAAACAGAGCAACTTCTCCTATGGAATAATTATTACTCACACTTTGTATTTACACTACAGGATCATTTCTTATAACAATTGGAGATTTATATGTGATATTTATTATATAATAAAATTGATATACAACATAAAATTTTTGATTTCCCACTAATTCTATTAGAGCCAATATTGGACCAATCAGCGTCCTATTTCTACAAATGTTCGAAGTTGTGTCATGTAAGATATAAGGCCAGTATTCATAGGCCGGTATTCATAGTCCGATCTTATATTTAAGATCGTCTTAAGTCTGCTTGGAGGTTGACTTAAGACCTTATTCAACCAATCAAATAGCTGCGTAGCATTTCAAGCTCGAACTTAAGACGATCTCAAATATAAGATCGGACTATGAATACCGGCCATAGGCCGGTATTCATAGTCCGGTCTTACATTTAAGATCATCTTAAGAACTCATTCAACCAATCAAATAGCTACAATGCAGCTATTGATTGGTGGAATGAGAGCTTAAGATGATCTTAAATGTAAGACCGGACTATGAATATCGGCCATAGTCTGGTCTCTTACATTTAAGATCATCTTAAGAACTCATTCCACCAATCAATGGCTGCATTGTAGCTATTTGATTGGTTGAATGAATTCTTAAGATGATCTTAAATATAAGACCGTACTATGAATACCGGCCATAAGTTTAGTTAAACATATTCAATGGTCGGTATTCATAGGGTACGTTCCATTTGAACGCTCACGCGCTATAAGCGCTCACGCTTATAAGCGCTATTTTCAACCGTTCCATTTGCTGCTTAAGCGCTTAAAATTACAAACAAAAGGTCGTTTCTTTTGGATGCGTGAGCAGTGTGAGCAGTACGAATGTTTAAAAATGGACGAAAAAGAAATTGTCATTTTATGCTCATTAATTGCAATATTTTTTAAAATATTGTTTGAAAATGAAGATTCTCCAAGCAATACAGAATTATTAGAAAATATTTTTATAATTCTTAATAAACATCGCATTAAAAATCCTATATTACGATTAAAGGATTACGTAGAAAATATTTTACCATCATATACGGATATACAGTTTAAATCACATTTCAAAAGAAAAGTCTACATAACTTCATTCCACTTTATTATATTAATACATAATATAAATTTTGAATAATATAAATATTAATAATAATCTTACCAGTTTCTAAACGTTTGGCTTCTTCTACTGTTACTAATATTGTATAAATTTTGTTGGTTTCATCATCTTCAATATCAACTGATATCTTCGGTCCATTTTTCTTATAAAAGGATTTAGCTGTCGTATGAATTGATCTAGTTCGTGAACGAAAGATTTTACAAAAAATTGATTTTTGACAAGTAATGATCATTACTTCATAATAGACTTAATAAAAATCTTATTTAGCAGTTAAATAATAAATTTGGACGATTAAATATGCTTACTCTTTATTTACTTAAAAATTATTAAAATATGTACTCACTTTTAGTTAATATCGTAGCACTATGGTCACCGTGGTGTAGTATTTCTATACGTTAGGTGTTCCGTACAAGGTGTTCCGTATCGCATTACGTTACGTTAAGTATCAATAGTAAATTTAATTCCGTACGTAAACTTAAACTTCAGTCAACGCACAGAAAAAATCGTAACGTAAAGACATGTCTTTAATCTAACAAAATATAAATCTAAATATAATTGACTATGTACAGATATACTATACATAACTAAGTAATATCAGGTACAGGTTTTATGGTTTCATACGGTCTGTAGCACAGAATTATATGCTCTAGATGTTAAATTAAAACTTGGAATGTGCTGAACTACGTATCTATTTTTATTTAAAACCTTTGAAACCATGTAGGATCCTTTATATAACGGTTTCAACTTCTTGTCCTCACTTAGTTTGATAATTGAATCTCTGATGAGAACGTAATCGCCTGGTTTATATTGAGACGATTTCTTATGCTTCTCGTCATAATATATTTTGTTATATTCTTTAATTCTATTTGTGGATTCGATAGCCAATTCTCTGGCAATGTTTCGTTCTTCTATAATATCTAGACTTGTTTTAGTTAGATCCTTGAGGAAAGTAACGAATTTACTATCAAGATGGTTATACATTTCGATACTAAATAATAGTATGGAGAGGTTTTGGTGGAAGAGTGGTATGTATTATTCATCATATTGAATAGTAGTGATGTGCAAATTCCAAGAGAGGTCGTCATCGATAATTTTTCTAAGGGAAGATTTCAGGAATCTATTAATCCTTTCCACTAGGCCGTTTGCCCAAGGCGCCGCCACTTGACGATGAACTACATTATAATACTTTAAAAAATTTGAGAATTCATGGGAGGTAAAAGCAGTACCTCTGTCTGACACTAGTATAATGGGATTAGCAAAATTTTGAAAGAGATACGAAAGATATTTTATTGTCTCTCTGAAACTTGTAGATTTAGTTGGAAACAACCAAGTGTATCTAAAAAAAGCGTCGATTACTACCAGGATATACTTAAATCCGCGAATTTCTTGGATAGGACCAAAGTGATCCGTATGTATAAAATTTGAAACGGATGAGAAGGAGTGTCAGTTATTTGAAGTCCACCTTCTTGTGAGTTAATGGCTGAATTAGCTAGAAAGCAAATTAAACAGTTATCTAGATAATTTTGGATTATCTTTTTAAAGAACAGAAACCAATAATTAGAAGAAATTCCTTTGACTGTTTTATCGAAACCAAAATGCGCCATGTCATCATGATAGTAACGAATTTGATTAGAAATCATTACCTCTGGTACAACGAAGCGAGACCTATCGTGCCCCTTTCTAAAAACTAGACTATCGAGGAGTTTGTAATTTTCATATTCTTTAGATTCCAGATTTTCTGCCAATTTTTTCAATTTAGGGTCTTGCAATTGTCTGAACTGAAGCTCCTTTCCTAAAGGCATAGTTTCTATAACGTGAGTGATGCGACTTAAAGCATCAACATGTACCATTCTTCAACCATCTCGATGAGATATCTTAAATTTGTAATTCTGTAATTTTAAAGTTCAGTGAGTTATGGAGGTTGATATGCGCCTTATTAACCGCATATACTAAAGCGTGACACTCTGTCACAACAGTGAATTCCATATAAATATAGATGGAACCTTTCTACAGATTTAACAATAGCGAGCATCTCCAGCTCAAAGCTATGATAATTAGCCTCTGCTTTATTAGTGCTTTGACTATAAAATGCTATCGGAGCCCACTGATCCGATTTTGATTTTTGTAATAAAATTCCAGCAACCAGAAAGACTGTCTTTCTCTGTGTGTTGATGGAGACGGTTGGCATGACAATCTTGACGAAATGATTTCCTTATTTCTCACGATAGAATAGTTAACTAAATTATTTTCACTCGAAAAGGACCAAAACCATGGTCGAAACGTCATGATTTACTGTAATAAAATTTACCAGTGTGGTCGTTTTTAATTACTTCTTGTATTTTATTTACTGGCGACCTTTAAGAGTTTAATGTTATTTTAGAAGGTATTGGAAAATTAGTAATAGCTTCGATATGACGAGAACTAAGAGTTATCCTAGAAGGGGAAACTATATAACCAAGATACTCTATAGTGGTTTTCAGAAACTGACATTTTTGCAAATTAATTTAAAAATCATAACGTTTAAGTGTAATAATACTTGTAATAATACTTGCTTTAATGTGTCTAAATTATCCTCGACTGATGTAGAAGGAATAAGGTATGTCATCAATATAAACCAGTACTTTATCTTGTCTAATGGAAGACTGTAATAAATTAAAACAAGGCGCTTTTGAAACTCTGCGGGCGCCTCACAGAATCCAAAAGGTAATCTTAAATATTCATATTGACCGCCTGAGGTCGCAAACGAAAAATATTTCGTGTAATCTGGATGAATTTTGATATGGTGGAAACCATCTTTGAGATCAAGAAGCGTAAACACTTTTTTATCACTTAAACGACCTAAGCAATCTTCAATAACCGGAAAAAAGTATTTTTACTTAACAGTTCGTTCATTTAGCGGTTGCAAATCTATGCAAAGTCTTAGTAAACTATTCTTTTTACAAATAGGTACAACGCGTGCGCAATACAGAGAATTGCTTTCTCTGATAATATTTCTAGACAACAGGTCATCTATTATTTCTCTTATTTGAATTCTTTCTTTGTAAGCAAAGCGTCTAGGAGAAAAAACGAAAACGGATTCGTCCTTCAAATTTATCTTAACACAATAGTTATCATCTATTGGAATGATATTACTATTACTTCTGAATTTCTTTAATGACAGATATTAATTGATTTTTAGTATTAATGTTGAAGTCGATATCACCCACATAGCATGCATATCTAAAAGATATCCAGAAGATATCTTTGGGCGATTAGACATCTTCAGGATGTCCTGTTAATGTCTTTTGGACATAGGATGCTATATGGGCAATATTCAATAATAAATCTTCTTTTTGGTCGTTCAATAGAATTGTACTGTTAGCGAAAGCGACTTGGGAAAACAAGTGGATTCTATCCTTTAAGTCTTTTTTAGAAAGATTGACCGTGATGGAGATTTCATTCTCTTCTAGAAAATCATGTCCAAGTATTAAATATGATGATACAGAATTATTTGAAAAAACTAAAAAGGAAATGTTAACTATTTGATTCATAAGTAGCTTTAATTTAATAGGAATTGAAATTGATCCAATAATATTAATAGGAGTACCATTTAGAGCATTATAAGATTGAATGACTTTTATACACAGATGGATTAAAATCAGAAGGATCAGAAGGATTAAAATACTTTAAAAAGATTTTATCAGAAATAAAAGAAATAAGACTTCCCGTGTCTAGTAACGCAAACAAAATACAAGATATATTATTAACATGTGTAACTTCTAACAAAGTGTCATTAATGACGATTTTCCTACCGTTAGTAGAGTCTACGCAAGCTATCGTGACTGAAGATGTAGCTATTGAGTCACTGATCGCTGCCACTGGAAGAATAGAAGATTGCGCAAGGCTGTGGACTTCTTGACATCCTTTCTTTTTTCTTGAGTTTAAAACACTTTTCTTTTGTATGATTTCTGCCACGACAATAAGAGCAGAAGGTATCTTCAGTAGATTTATTCTGGGAATCTGATCTTCCTAATGAAGTATCCTTATGCAGGATTGTTTCTGCATATGAACGTAGGTGAAGATTTCTTGAGATTGCATGAAAAAGTGATATATTGCATCTTCCTCAGAAATTCATCCAGTGAATTTTTAGGCAGTGACGCTGCTGCTGCTCTGATAGATAAACTGGAGATTTCATTGATAAGTAGGTGAATTGCGTCTTGATCTAACAATCTTAAAGATTTCATTAAGGTTATTTTATCAGTAGTGTACTCTGAAAAGGATTCTTTATAGAAAAGCCATTTGCGAAGTTCAATTTTCTATATCTTCATAGTGTATAAGATGTCCCTTTTAAAACGACTGAGCAGTGCTTTTCTGAAATCTAGCCAAGAAGTATTAGCAAATCCAGAAACTCGATCAAACTACTTACGTGCTGTTTTTGCCAATTTTATTATGGCTGCTGCCAAAATAACATTATGGGATGATCCATTAATTTGAGCCAGACTTTCCAATTTTTCAAGCCATAACTCAATATCCTCTTCGTCTGATTCATTGAAATATGGGATCTGATTGACTAAAATTTTGGCAGCACTATATGAAGCTGTTGTAAAATCCTCCGTAATTTATGAAGAACTGGAACGGTGGTTATACGATGTATTTCTATCTAGTGAGCGTTCTCTAGATAAAAACTGATGATAATGTTTGTACCAAAATTTCTTGATAATTACGCATTTGCTCCCCTAGTAGCAGAATGACATCTTAATAACGTCTTAATGACGTCATAGACGTCTTTAAGACGTCTTTAGACGTCATCTTGCTACCTAGGTCATTTTGATGTTGCATTTGAATAGTTAAAAGAGAGCAAAATTGAGTCAAGATATTAGAATCAGTGTTATCTGCTTCTTTATTAGCAGGTTGGTTTATTGAGTTATTACCGACCTTAAGTAAAGATTGAGTTGCTCAAGGACCGGTTGCGTTAATTTCTCCTTCAACTGTTTTTCCACCATAATAATCCAAAGGAGGTGCAGACCTTTCCAAGAAGGTCATAATCATGTCAATGCACTTGTTACGATTGTCATCTACTGAAAGTCCATAAAATAACGCCTCTTCTTGCAATTTCGGAAAGGAAAGATTTTCCAAACGGTGTCGATCCATTATTTTTAACTGATATTTATTATTATTTTTTTTTAGTTTTACGTGCACACAAAGGCTGGAATACTGTCTTATCACGTACTCATAAATGGTGGGCACTCCCGTATCACGTGCACATAAAGGCAGGAATACTGTTATATCACGTAACCACAATGGCGGTTACACTCTCGTATCACGTGATCACAACGGTGAGCTAACTCGTTAGATCAACGTGCCCAACTGGTTATTGTTTGATATAGATAATATTCATAAAATGTTTAATGAATATCGCGCACTATCAGTCTAAAAGTCTGAATTAGCACATAAATCGCGACTCTGTATACTTAGAGTATACTGCGCGACAACGATTCGTTCCGTGGCCCCTCTCTCACGGGGCAAGGGAAGCGTAGACGTGAATTAGCTGGCAGCGTGGCAGTGGCTGATTGGTCAGAGGCTACGCTCCCTTTGCCCCGCGAGAGGGACCACGAAACGAATCGTTGTCGCGGAGTGTACGTAATGCTGGAAAACACTCAGCGAAAAAATATAAATGTATCGGAAACGAGCACACACATAAAAAAAACTTCGAATGATAATACCACTTCTGAACTTTTAGGGATTTAGACTAGCGATTAGGCAGGATAATTCGAAGCAGGAGAGCCGAGGATAAAGATAACACGTGTTATCATATTTTCCGTCTGTAATACTTCAGACGTAGATTTATTCTGACTTAGTCGAACTAGGATGTCGTACCACGGTAACGCCGTACATCAAAAACCCGCCTATCGCCTATATCGTACATAGACGAGCTGGCTTCTCCTCACCCAGGCCCGTTGCTCGTTGTCTTTTTTTATCGCTAACCCCCATCGCCACCACCGTGTCGCTCAGGAATTCAACGCTGCACGCGCAATGAAAAGATGGCGGTGTCAAGTAAAGCTAGGTCTACCCTAGATTTACATTACAATTGTCGTACGATTTTGTCGAATGTAACAATTGCGTCAATCAAATGAAAAATTTCTACAATTTTTATCGAGATTCTAAGAAACTCTATAAATTCCTTATCTGATAACCAATTTGTACATTTAATAAACTCATCGATAAATGTAATTAGTCTTAATAATTAGTCTCTGTATATATATTTCTCTTAGCTCGTTCTAAGTCTGTCACTAGCATTTATAACAGTATGTACTAAAGTATTCATAATATCTAATTTTATGTCTCGAGATTGTATTTTTTTCAGAAGAGAATCTAAAAAATTCATGCATGTAATATCTATAGAGTCTGTAGTAGAGTTTGTCGTAACATTAACTGATGATAGTATTGATGATAGAATATTTAAAGATTGTGCAATCGTTTGAATTGCTTCTATATAAACATCATCATTGTTACGTTTATGCTTCTTAGGATTACGAAAAATGGATGGAGATGATTGTGTCATATCGCATATATTTGATGATGACTGTACAGAACTTAATATTTGTTGAGAATAAGTATCAGGAACGGGTGGTTTTCGGGAATTCCGCGTAAAAGAAACTTGGCACACACAGTGAGACAAATAATGTTATATTCCGGATCGTACAAATCGAATTGTGACTTTACCAAAAGCACTGGATAGAAGAATACAAAACAAATTGTGGGCTAAGACTGCGTATAAGACCGACCCAACTCAAGCGACAAAAAACATAAAAGAAAAGCGCAGGCGCATGCGCTGTCGCCACCCTTCCCATGACCAAACACTGCGTAAAGCGCGCAAGCACAAGAGTATTTATCCAACAGTGTTGAACATGATTTTGATGAACTTGATATATTTATATTAGATAAATTTGTAAATGGCAAAAATCTTGACTGCAAATTTGTTTCTTCTTGATTGTGTTGCAGTAATTATGTTGTTAGAAGACGAAGACTTGCATAAGTATGATTCTTTATTATTGTTATTATTTAAATATTCTTCATTATGTAGTGTATTATCACTTTCAAGCAATATTTCATTTATATTTAATATTGACTCTTGATTGTTCTTGTGAGTAATAATCGTGCTACAAAATAATAAAAAAATTAAAACATGCCTAATCTTTGTATTATATAAATATTTAAATTCTGTAAATTATGCAATATATTTCTATATATAAATACTTACTTGTAATAAATGAACAGGCGTATTTGTTTCAATATTTGACAAATGTGATGTTTTATTTTTTCTTGGAATTATATATTCCTCTACAACCCAGATAGCCAAATCTGTTAGAACATTTTCATCAAACACCCTAACCTAACTTAACCCGTTACAAATTTTAAAGGCAGAAAGACTAGTTTGCATAAAGGAATTGATATGTTCGATCATATTGCTAGCATGTCAGCAGACATCAACAAAATCTGTTCACATAACATGTCAGCAGACATCAACAAAATCTGTTCACATAACTGGACAATAGATCGTTAATAGAAACCAGAACTTTTTAATATATTAGGTGTGTGAATTAGTTCGGTCCATTCTTTTCTTCCAAAAAAGACTTTACTGTGAAAAAACTTTACGTGAAAAAGTACACTAATCAAAGTATTTGCATCGTTTGCTATTATTTTATCCCATCTGTATGGCAGTTGTTGTATTCCGTGATGGAAAAACGACTCGTCCTTCGAAGGGATTCATTCATTGAGCCATTTCTCTATTTCTTCATAATTGTTGAAGTGTTGGTCCGAAAGTCCGTGTGCCATCGATCTGAACAAGTGATAATCGGATGGAGCAATGTCTGGTGAATACGACGGGTGAGGTAAAATGTCCAGCCAAGTGCTTCCAAGGTGGCTTTCACAATCTTTCCAACATGTGGCCGAGCGTTATCGTGCTGGAAGATCACTTTGTCGTGTCTCTTTGCATATTCTGGCCGCTTATTCTTCAATGCGTTGTTTAAACGAATCAATTGTTGTTGATAAAGTTCGGCAGTGATGGTTTGGCTCTGTTTTAATAGCTCATGATGCACTCCCTTCTGGTCCCACCATATACAGAGCATTACTTTCTTGCCGTGAATATTCCGCTTTGGTGTCGATGTGGATGGTTTTCCTGGGACGCAAATGAATTTCCTTCGTTTGGGATTATCGAAATATATCCACTTTTTGTCTCCAGTCACAATACGATGCAAAAAACCTTTTCTTTTTTGCCTGGCAAGCAAAATTTCAGATATGGCTTTTCGCTCCTCGATGCCTCTTTCTTTCAGTTCGTATAGCACCCATCTTCCTTCTTTGTAAATCTTTCTCATGGCTGCCAAACGCACAAAAATTGTTGATCGATCAACATTCAACAATTGTGCGAGCTCATGTTGCGATTGACATGAATCTTCATCGATTAGCGCCTGCAATTCCTCGTCCTCGAACTTCTTCGGCTGACCTGGACGAGATTTGTCATCGACACTGAAATCATTACTTTTGAAACGTCGAAACCATTCTCTGCATGATTTATCGGTGGGAGCACTTTCATCATAAGCTTCTACAAGCATTCGATGAGCTTCAGCGGTTGATTTCTTCAAATGAAAACAGAAAATGAGAACTTTCCGGAAATGATGCTTTTTGGGCTTGAATTTCGACAGTTTCGAATCAGATAAACACGATGTAATTGTTACAAACTCAAACGTTTATCAACTGAATATTATTGCCAGATGTCAATACTAAACCATAAAGCCTTTTGCAGACATTAGAGGTTAAAAAATTACATAGTATAGCAATTGACCGCCAGATGGACCGAATTAATTCACATACCTAATAATTGATGGTACATTGATGGCAGAAACTGAGTAGGGTCTGTGCAGTGTAATTTTGACAGCAAATTGATAACAAAAACCGAGCAGGATCTGCGCATACAATCTCTGATAGCAGATTGACGGCAGAAAGGGACGGAACAGGGTTTGCATGATTCGACAATTCCTTCACTTACCGCTACGTGAGTTGTACTTTCTTGTAATCTAATTTCTGTCAGAAATATATATAAAGTCGCGAATATGAATAAGATTAAAAACATAGTAATTATCATTTTAATTTCTATCACTGTAATTTCTGATATCTGATACAAACAGATGAAATTCAGAATATTAAACTGATTGGAATCAATATGATAAATGGAAAATTATTCATGTACTGCCTATTTGAGGCATAAAGTAAGAATTTAATTCTAAATAAATTACATCTCCAGTTTTACAAGTTACATTTACTTTTATCACATTTACTTTATTATTAATTTAATTAAATTGAATTAGTCCTTCGCTATATGAGATATAACTACAATATAATACAATATATATTACGTTAACATATATTACGATATAACATATGACATATATGTCATTTTAGAAAAAAATTGTAATTAACTTGCCGATAATATTGTTATTTAGCACCTGTAATAATCAATTTTATTGCATTTATATAACATTAATAAAAGTAAGCGTAAATCTTGTGCAGTTTTTGCTGTCAATTTGTCATCAGGTTGCATGCGCAGATTCTGCTCGGTTTTTGCCGACAGTTCCGTTGACAGGTTACGTTTTACAGACTCTGTCGCCAAAACAAAAGCTTAATACGGACACAGATGGCTACGGTTCTGATGTGAGATTCTGATCGAATTTGCTGCCAATCTGCTGCCAACCTGCTAACATTTTGCTTACTGGGAAATTTTAGAGTATCATAAAGAGTGAGGCCCAGTTGCGCACAGAATAAATCGGACACAGGACTCTCTATTAGTCAACCGTGCTAGATTCTAAGCATCGGTCGATGTGATTGGTTGTGTCCGTTTCATTCTGTGCGCAATTGGGATTCCTCCATCATAAATATCACAAATTGGGTTTGTATACTTATAATTTTTATAATTTATATAATATTAATCTTTATGCTGAATATATAAATTATTTAGCCACTAAAATATTTTAATACTCACATTTTCACTATCTACACCACTATCATCACCACTTTAAATCGATGCTCTCACTTTTGCATTTTCAGAGTTAAATTGACTTCTTAAATTATTGAATTTGATACTGCATTCTTTTTCTGTAGTGTTAGGTCTAATAGTGTTAACTATTCCACAAATACGTTTTAATGATTCATAACATAAATGTTTGTTATAATAATATATATAAATGTTATAAATGTTATAAATGTTTGTTATAAATATTTAGGTTTTTTGTTTGATATAGACACGGCTCATTTTTGTATGCATCAATTAAAATTGGAATAGCTTCTTCTATGTCGTCATCTCTGTTAAAATTTTATTAATTAAAATAGAATTTCAATAGAATTTACTTATTTGTATTATATTGCGTTAGTGTACATTAATAAGAATTACATGAGATTATCTACAAAATTTATTATCAGTTATTAACAAGAATTACATGAAGTTATCTACAAAAGAATAATACAAATTTTTGATCGATAATTATTCAATACTGATGTTATATCAATTTTATGATATTAATAAGTAAAATACATGAAATTAATCAAAACATTGATAATAGTATTTACATAATTTTATGAATAAATATATTAATGGATATACACTGTAATGCATTGTAGTGCAAGTAATCGGATTTACTGTGATTAATAATTATATAGAGCTTATTTTATATTTTTCTACTTACTGTATTTTTTTGTTCTCTTTTTTATTGTTTTTTATATCTTTGTTGGCCTGTATAAATTTTGGCTGACTTCGGTTGGATTCCGTAAAATACATGTACGTCATATGTCCATAATGCACGTTACATATACAGGGTGTCCGTCAATTTTCGACCTTAATGAAATAAAGAAGTAGATTGGCTCGAATTAAGATGGAATGACCTGTATTGTTTTGGGATTGTCGCAATAATTAACGAAATATTAAATAAAAAAGATCGGCCAATCTGCGTGAGTAAAAGCGCGCGGCGACGAGAGTCGTCCCACCGTAATCCGATACTACGAGCGCGGCGAAGCGGTGGGCGGGTCATTCTCCGAGACATGATGGTGGTTTGCGATATATCGCAATACCGCGCCGAAAAATGACCCGTCCCCCCTTTTCGTGGCGAGAAAATGATGCGCTATCATTTCCACACCACCTTGCGGTAGATAGTATGGTGCGCTTTTTTTATAGTGGTTTCCCCCATAGGCCTATTCCACTCTCAATTTAAAAATTATTCAAAATGCCATTTACTATACGCTGAATATATCGTAAATGTAAAAAATTAATGGACAGTACCTTTACAAAAATTGATTCGTGGTTGAAAATCCCTCGATAAAATGTATTGCACACATTGATAATGTGATACGATGATAAAATTCTTCAAGAATCCTTTCTTCATCTCGTACACGAAGACGCACTGCTGGACCGGTTATCCCGATATTATGCACGACACTCAGTTTCACATAATTATTGCACAACATAAAATTGTACGACCACTTGGTTTTCGTGCACGCCCGAGAAATGATTCCATGTAAATTGCGGCCACATGATAAGTATTTTTTCCCGCTAGTCCGTATGCCACAATCATATCCGTATATTCCTGCAGAGTACACTTCATTTTCTCTGTTAATTTACGCAAACACAAGATTTACTACGCAAACACAAGATTTTTATTAAAACGTCTTAGCTCTCGCACGCTGTTACCAGACTGCGTACGCCAGCAGCACGCAACTACAGCTGACAGCTGAGCGGATATGTGAGTGTAAGCGTACGTGTGAATTCGACGCCTGCGCACTATGATGCGAAAACCAAGTGGCCGTACAATTTTACGTGTTGTACAATAATTATGTGAAACTGAGTGTCGTGCATAATATCGGGATAACTGGGTCCAGCAGTGCGTCTTCGTGTACGAGATGAAGAAAGGATTCTTGAAGAATTTTATCATCGTATCACATTATCAACGTGTGCAATACATTTTATCGAGGGATTTTCAACCACGAATCAATTTTTGTAAAGGTACTGTCCATTAATTTTTTACATTTACGATATATTCAGCGTATAGTAAATGGCATTTTGAATAATTTTTAAATTGAGAGTGGAATAGCCCTATGGGGGAAACCATTATAAAAAAAGCGCACCATGCTATCTACCGCAAGGTGGTGTGGAAATGATAGCGCATTATTTTCTCGCCACGAAAAGGGGGGACGGGTCATTTTTCGGCGCGGTATTGCGATATATCGCAAACCACCATCATGTCTCGGAGAACGACCCGCCCACCGCTTCGCCGCGCTCGTAGTATCAGATTACGGTGGGACAACTCTCGTCGCCGCGCGCTTTTACTCACCCAGATTGGCCGATCTTTTTTATTTAATATTTCGTTAATTATTGCGACAATCCCAAAACACTACAGGTCATTCCATTTTAATTCGAGCCAATCTACTTCTTTATTTCATTAAGGTCGAAAATTGACGGACACCCTGTATATTGGCTGTTTCAAAATTCACTACCAGTACTGAAAATCTATAATACATGTCACTTATATTATAGATTTTTAGTACTAGCTGAATTTCGGAACGCAGCCATTATAGATCGTATTGTGTGCTACAGGCCTAATTAAAATAGTAGATAAAAGATGAATGGATGTCATTAGTATAACATAAAATCTTCATGTTGATTAATCCCATACAGCACAAAAAGACGTCTTAAAGATGTCTAAAGGACTTTAAGACATCTTTAAGTAGTCTTTTAGATGTCTTTTGGACATGTGTGCTGTCTGGGATACGACGAGTCTTTAACCAATGCCGCACTATATAGACTTCCAATGTAGTTTAATAATAGTTTATTATACTATTTCTCTTTAATATTATTAAATATGAAAATTTGTATATCAATAAATATTCTTTTATATGTCAAAAGTTATGTCGTATATTTATAATTATTTTATGACAAATTGCTTATAATATTCTTTTATAAAAACCTGTTTTAAAATACTATTCAATATAATAATTTATACAAATAAGTTTAATCATAATCTATTTTAAAATCTTTGGAAAATTTTAATTCTCAATAAATCAAACTTAATGTAAAGTTACTTTTCCATTTTAATGCTTCTGTTCATGGAATATTGTTAATAATATCTAGTCATAAAAGTATACTTTACTGTAATCACTTTGAATATCATTGTACATCTTTAAAATTGTAATTAAAATGTAAGTAAAATTCTAATTAAAATTATATAATGTTTTATCTATTTTAATACTTTCGATTTTAATATTTTCTTATAAGAGATGATTCATAATATTTTATTATAAAAAAACTCGTCTGAATGTAATCTTATCATATTGAATTATATTTAACTTTATAAGAATGTCATAACACTGAACTAACTTATTAATAAAATCTAGTCATAAAAATATACTTTGCTGCATTTTCTAGATATTACTCCCAAGGGCTGATTTTTGAAAATTGTTATCATATGTTATTATACGTTAAATTAGTTTTTCTATAAGTCTTATCTAACGGTACAGGTTTTATATTTTTGTGGTACATCGTTTCAATATTTTAAATTTTACTTCCAAGAAGTAGTTTTTGGAAATTGTTATAATGCAATAAATTAATCTTCTTAGAAGTTTTATTTAACGGTACAGTTTTTATATTCTTTTGATACACCATTTCTAAGATATTAGATTTCATCTTGAAGGAGTGGTTTTTGATAATTGTTATTATACGATAAATTAATCTTCTTAGAAGTCTTATCTAACGGTAGAGTTTTGATATTTTTGTGATACACCATTTTCGAGATTAGATTTTACTCCCAAGAAAGGTTTTTGAAAATTGTTGTGCGATAAATTAATCTTTCATACATATACACACACATATACATATACATATCATACGTATGTACGCACAGGTACATAAATGGTTTTGTCTCTTAAAGTATTTTTGCACACCAAAGCGAATAATCATATATGCGCGGTGTGAACGCCGCTTGAGAGACAAAATCGCTTTGAATATGTGCGAAGATATTTGTGAGTCTAAACTTATGGAGAAAAATGAAAAATATCACAATTCTAACATGTGGTCATCATTTCTTAGGATTGATTGCACCAATTTTATTCAAACTGGTCAATCTGATGAAAACTTATATTCACATTATATAATAAAAATGGCGTTAGATTTTTGATTACGGCTTTAATTTCTGATATTTTAATCAAAAGTTTATTTGACGTAAAATTCTGGCTAAGCTACTTTGTAGCGTCGCGTTAAGAACAGTGACTCTCAATGCTCGGATCCAGTTTTTTATGTATTTAGCGTCGCGACGCTACAACGTCGCCTGATTAATTATAATTTTCATTTTTCAACTTTTTTTAAAAATAATTTTTTAATAATAATGAGAACAATGATCAGATTTTTTAGTAGATATTTTAATTCATTAAGATTTTGTATAGTAAAATCTGTTTATAGAGAGCATGTAGAATAAAATAAAAATATTTTCGTTCTATATAACGAACTCAAGCCATTGATTAAATTTATTATAAGCTTATAATTGATTTAACCGTTATTAAAATTCATTATTATGATAAAAAATAAGATACATAAATGAAATATGCTCGCGTATAGATATGCGCTTCCATCTCGCTGTTGTTGCGCATAGCTTTTTTACTATATTTAATGCGAAACAGTATTGTATTTCTTGATAAATATTATGCTAAAACTAAATCTTGAAAAACCTAGCAGAATAAAACTATCAATAATATGATATGTATATAAAATAGTTTATTGTTAGATGAAGAGCCAATTAAAATCTTCAATCTTTTTGAGACGCCCTCCTCAACAGATCAATAATGGTCCAACACAGCATCTACTAACTCAACCTGATAAAGACCAGATAGAGAGTGAGGGTAAAAGGGGTAGAGAACAGAGAGAAACCCTTGTGTAATAAAATCAGGAGGAAGCCAATAAAAACCAGTTTTTTCCAAGGAAATAGTAGAGATTCAATGTTCATAAAAAGTGCTTCTATTACACAGTGCACATGTGAAAGTGAGTTTCCAAACATCACACTTTAATACGATTTTTTTGCTATTCTAGAAGAATATGAAAAATCAATTTGAATTTCCATCTTCTTTGTACGGATCAAATGTGAGATATTTAATATTATTTTTTAGCGTTCTTGTGTAATTGTTAATAATTGTTCTCGGAGAATAAGTGTTCTAAGCAACTGCAAGTGTTCTAAGCAAAATGCAAGTGGCGAATTATACATGAAATCAATTGAAAATTTTATTATACTTAAATATATAAAATATATATTGCATATATTATTAAAAATATGCATAAATATATATTGCATATTTTCAGGATTTCAAGACTGTAATGCGCGGTATTTTACGTGGTGTATTATATTGTTCTTTGTGTTACGGTAGTATAGCAGCAGGATTTTTGTTCATTGCCTGTCCACTTCTACCACTGTTGTTATTTAGTCCGCCAAGATTTCGAAAATGTGCAGAGCTCCTATTTTCATGTTGGGAATTTTATCCTACTGTAAGTAGATCTATTAATTAATAATACCTATCACAAGTCGCATTGCAAAATCATATATAATAATATTTAGTTTCATTCCCGATACAGTCACTTAGAGTCTTAAATTTATAGAATCTTAAATATTTTTTATAGGCTTTGATGAACGTGCTTGGTGTAAAAATTTTTGTGTCTGGCGATCATATATCTCCTGATGAATCGGCCGTTCTTGTGATGAATCACAGAACAAGGGTAGATTGGAATTTCTTATGGGCGGCAATGTACCAAGCGTGTATGCCCAATGTAGCCTGTCATAAATTGAAATTTATTTTAAAGGATCCTCTACGACATATTCCTGGTCCTGGTAATACATTTTAATTTATCCTATATATTGTATCATATTTAATTGCTGAAACAATGATGGGAAGATAATGATTTTGTATAAAAAAGTAAATATAGAATAATGTATTTTCATATTACTTTATTTCTGAAGAAAAAATTAATTTAAAACTTTTTTTATAATTAAGAACATATTTTCATGTTTTTTTTTTAATTTAAATAGCGATTTTATGTCATATTTTTTCTCGATAGTGATTTTAAATATATATAAAAAGATAAAGTATTCCACATAACAAAATGCCAAGCATATTGACAGCAAATGCAATCATGATTTAATAGATTTCTATCCACTCCGTCCGCATTGCTTATTTTCTATTAAAACAATGGTTTTTCTATTATAAGCTGTTGGCATAGTGTGAAAGCAAATATATAACAAAAATCGAGCATTATCAAGAAGTATTATAATGTGATAGCAAATATTAAGCAGAGTCTACCGAAATCAACAGCACAAAAACAGTAAAAGTTAAATCATGAAGTGCTATCGTATTGTAACAATAAAAATATAACAAAAAATGCAGCATTATCTAAATTAAAAATTATAAACTAGATATTATAAATATTATGGCATAAATATCTCAATAAGTCAGTTATTTGTAATTTTCCAGTCATAAATGTAATGTTATATCGTAATTATCTATATAATATAAATGATAAATATGATTAACATAATTATTAAAATAATTAAGTTTTAATAATCAATTTGACACATTCTAATTTTAATATTTCAATATTCTAATTTAATATTCTTCTTTCTCTTTTGAAATCGTATTAGAAATATATACAGTGAGTCGTTTTAATCGACGCACGCAAATATTTCGTAAAGTAAGCAAGATGGAAAAAAATGTTTTATACAAAAGTTGTATAAAGGATTCAGGGTATATAAGGTTCAGAGGGACACCTAAATAAGGATACTAATCAATTGGTGTAAAAAAATACACAATTGTTTTTAAGAAAAAATATGTAATTGTTATACCTTCACACTTCGGTATTGCAAAAAGTTATCAGACACTCTGTATATATAAGAGTATCATCAGGGTTGGAAAGTACGCGTTACTTGTAATGTCTTACTTTTTTCGGTAACTGTAACGGTAACGATATTACAAATTTCGTTTGTAACGAAAAAGTAACTTCGTTACATTTTTCGGTAACGAATTTAACAGTTACTTTTATTGCAACTTTTTGCAAATTTACTCGGTGTAATTTTTATTCAAAGAAGAGTGTGGAATGCAGAATCACATGTACATAAACGCGTCATTAGATACATGTGAAAGAAAAAGTTAAGTGAAGATGTTCAGTGTCGGTGGATCTGTATTAACGCCATAAAGAGGGCAGCTAAATGATGACACAGTTGAACAGCAAATTCTTTTAAAAATTAATAAAGAATTTCGATAAAATTTAGTAATGTTTTTATTTATTTTAAAATAAACTCTGTAATATTTAATAAACTTATATTTAAAAAAATAACGAAAATTGTAATGACGCGTTATTTTTAAGTAACGGAAACGGTAACGAGTTATTTTTGAATTGGTAACAAGTAATGATAACGAGTTATTTTTTAGAAAAAACAACGATAACGGTAACAAGTTACTTTTAAAAAATAACTTTCCCAACCCTGATGAGTATATATATTACAAATTTATATCTCGGAAACGAAGCAATTTAGGGAAAAATGTTTCAAACAAGTTATATGGTTTCTAGGGGGACATAAAATGGTGCTTTCCAAAACACTATAATTAAGTTAGTTTTCATTAAGTACTTTCCAAGTTATGAGGCTTGAAATTATTTCTTACTTTTACATAAACCGTAAAATATCTTGTAAAATATTCATTTTTCGATTATCTTATTTTAATACTTTTATGTACAAAATAAAAAGAAGAATCAATTGGTGTAAAGAAAACACAGAGTTGTTTCAAAGAAAAAATATGTAATTGTTAATTGCAAATAACTTAATTATAGTGTTTTGGAAAGCTCTCGAGATGAGCTGCAAGAATGTGCAAAAATATATAGGGTGTTCCGTTTAAAAAAATTGAAGTGACCTTCACGTGTTCTTCAAATGACTCTTCAAGGTCAAACCAATAGCACCATCTTATGTCCCCCTAGAAACCATATAACTTTTGTCTGAAACATTTTTTCGATTTTTCATTATTTTCCGAAATATTTGCCTGGGGAAATTAAAACGAGACGCCCTATATCAAGATATTGATCCGATATATATATATATATATATATATATATATATATATATATATATATTGGATCAATATCTTGAAAACAAGACATGTTAAAAAAAAAATGTTTCATAAAAGTTATAGGATTAAAAAAAAATCTATTTATTGATTTTATCAGTTTGATTTTGGGAGGCGTCGTCAAAATCAGGAGAAGATCAAGTTGAATTTTTTAAATGGAACCCTTCATTTGTTATTGTACATTCTTATAACTTATCTTGAGTTTCCAAAACACATAATAAAGTATTTTTTTATTAAGTACTTTTCGAGTGATGTCACTTGAAATAATTTCTTAATTTTACATAAACTATAAAATATCTCGTAAAATATTCATTTCTCGATTATCTTGCTTTAATACTTTTATGTACAAAATAATGAGAGAAATCAATTGGTGTAAAGAAAACACATAGTTATTTTTAAGAAAAAATATGTAATTTGCAATTAACAATTACATATTTTTTCTTTGAAACAACTATGTGTTTTTTTTACACCAATTGATTTCTCTCATTATCTTATGCGTAAAAGTATTTAGTAAGATCATCGAAAAAATGAATATTTTACGAGATATTTTAGTTTATGTAAAATTAAAAAATTACTTCAAGCCGCATTACCTGAAAAGTATTTAATAAAAAATACTTTATTATAGTATTTTGGAAAGCTTTCGAGATAAATTATAAGAATGTACAATAAAAATGTGAAGTTCCATTTAAAAAATTCAACTTGACTTTTAATTAATGTTGGAGACATCTCTCAAGATGAAACTGATAAAATCGGTAAATAGATTTTTCTGAACCATAACTTTAATATGAAACATTTTTTTTTAAAACGTTTTGTTTTGGAATATTTCACTGGTGCGAAACTTTTTACTCATCCTGTATATATATATAATCGTTTTATGCATCTCTAACAGGATGGATGATGCAAATAAATGGTTTCCTTTACATAACGCGACGTTGGAAAGAAGATCAAGGGCGATTATCACGTACTCTCGATTACTTGATCGCGTTAGATAATCACTCGCAGTTGCTGATATTTCCCGAGGGCACTGATTTGACAAAGAACAATAAGGAGAAGTCGGACAAATATGCTGTACAGCGTCATTTACCACAGTATATATACACTCTGCATCCGAAAACTACGGGCTTCACTTATTTGGTCCAACATCTTCAGCGAGCGAATTATCTTGATGCTGTTTATGACTTAACAATAGCATATCCGGATCGCATACCACAATCTGAAATCGACTTAATTAGGGGTAAATTCCCGGACGAGATATACTTTCATATAAGACGAATATCATCCGCAGATATACCAATACACGATATGACTTTGAGAAAATGGCTGGAAGATAGATGGTCCGTCAAGGAAAGAATATTGAAGCAATTTTATGAACAAAAAGCATTTCCCTTTGAAATTTGGCCGATAACGGTAATGAAAACGTTACCATTACAAGCAGCATTAGGATTCTGGAGTATATTAACAGGTACATTTTCTGGAATGTATCCAGATTTTTTCACCATTAGGAAAGAATAATAAAAAATAATTTCTTTTATTAAAAATAAATTGTTAATTATATTAATCTTTTTATTAAAAATAAATTTTTTCATCATTTTCAGGTATGGCAATACTGTTACTCATTATTTCTCCGATCTTCCAATTATGGGCTTTGATTCACACAATTTTTTTTATCGGATTATCGATTCTCAATATAGGCTTTAATCAGATTGAAATAGGATGGTATTGGCGCTGGAAACGCTATACTTTTCAAACTAAATATAGTTAGTCAAGAGATATCATATCTTAATTTATTAAGTCCTTTGGAGAATCATAGATCTTTATCTCTGTGATAACATTGTATACAAAGTTAGAAAAATTAGAAGAAAAGCACATTATTTCGAGCATTTTGTGCAATATCACAATTCTAATTGTAATATATTACATTATTTTAACTATTTTACATTTTCATGTCTCGATATTATACAGCTTTAAAAATAGTAGTATAACATAATGAAAAAAATGGGAACATATAGTTTAATATTAAAATAATCTATTTGCAAAATTGGAAAATATATATGAATGATATTTTTTATTTATTTTTATTTGTAAAAATTGAATTTGTATTTTAATCATCATCGAAATTATGTAATATATTTCAAGGAATTTATATTTACTGCAAATGTATTATATTTTTACAAGATATAAATATCACATTTTTAAATACAAAATAACTAGAATATTAACGTTATAATCATCAAAATAAAATTATATTTTTAAGGAATATACACTGCTTAAGAAAAAATACGGAATGATTTGGTAATTATTTGCTTATACGGACATTCTCCCAATGTCAATAATTTTCACATATGTTATCAAGATCATCACTCTGAGTAATGTTGTGAAGATTTTAATCGGCGGTCATTGTTTATTAAAAAATTATAAACAAAAAATATCTAATGAATAATATGTATTCACATAGCATGCATATCCAAAAGATGTCCAGAAAATATCCAGAAAATCTTTGGGCGATTAGACATCTTCAGGATGTCCTATTAATGTCTTTTGAACATAGATGTTATATGGGTAATTTTATGACATCGTATATAAATTATGTTGTCGTTTGACATTGTTTATCTTTCTTATATTGAAATCACCTAGACAGCACACATGTCCAAAAGACATCTAAAAGAGGACTTAAAGACGTCTTAGAGTCCTTTAGACATCTTCAAGACATCTTTTGGCCTTTTTGTGCTGTCTGAGAGATAGTGGAACAATGATAGGTTTCTATGTTTTTGATATTTCTTAGGATTTTGAAAATATTTAAGAAAAGGAGTTAATACAAGACATTTACTGTACAGTTAACATAAAATTCTATGAGTTTCTCACTTTAACAATAAAATAGGATGAGTTATAAATCTATGTGTGCATGAAAAATATAACATTTGTAACTTTCTATGCAAAGTGAAGTATATCCCGCATCACAAACACGGCTTGGGTTAGGTTATATCTTCTGAAAGTGGAGTCCACAGGAGCGGAAACACACTGTCCACGCATGTACTTTCCAAGATGAAGTAAATATCACTTAATTTGGACCTCTATTAAGAGTAAATTTTGCTTCATCTTAGGAAGTACATGCATAGATACAGCTCCCCGGTGCGGTGGGCACCACTTTCAGAAGATATAACTAATGACCGCCGACTAAAACCTTCACAACATTACTCAGAGTGATCTTGATAACATATGTGAAAATTATTGAAATTGGAGGTGGTCCATATAAATAAATACTTATCCTAAATTATATATTTTCAAATTAAATAATTTTCAAGGAGAAAAAAATGTTTCCTATCTTTCTACATATATTTCATGAAAATGTATCTATATTTGTAAAAGATATATGATGTATAAATTTTTCTTAGAAACTTTCTTACCAAAAAGAGATTAGCAGTATTTTGGAAAAATTATTAGTTTTTATTGCAATAAATTTCTAATAAAGAAACAAATATTGAAATATTAATATAGACATTGATATAAATATTGATATAAAATATTTTTAGCTGTATAAATTTCAATAATAGAGATGTATAAGCAATATAAAGTTTTTCTGCAATTTTTATTAATTTTTCTATGTGTAATTTCTATGTGTAATTTCTAATATATGTGTGTATATATATATATATATATATATATATATATATATACATATATATATTTATTATTAACTGCATAATATTGCTTACTATATGCAACATTTATACACGTTTTATATTATAAATAATATTTTGTATAAAATATTATTTATAATATAAAACGTGTATAAATGTTGCATATACTAAGCAATATTATGCAGTTAATAACAGATATTGATATAAAATATTTATTATTTATAATGTTTCTCGATTAAAAAGTGTAGAATAATTATTAAATGATTTTAAATATTACAAAAAGTGAATTCATGTGCCAAAAAATATAAGCAGAAAAAGAGAAAAAAAGTAAGAAAGAGGAAAAGAAAGAGGAGATAAGGTAACACTAGATAAGGAGAAAAGGTGAAAAAGGTGAAAAGATAACGAAAAGAGAAAAAGAAAGAAAGAAAAAGAGAAAAATGGACGAGATGAAAGACAGTAAAAAAAAGAAAATTTAAAAGTAATGAAAAGAAAAATAGCAAGGAGAAGAAAAATAGAACAGAAAAAAGAAAGAAGAGAACGAATATAGAGAAAGAGAGATAGAGAGTAAGAAGGTATGAAAAAAATAGAGAAAAAAAAGAAGACATATAGAAAAATGGAAAAGAAAAAGGATGAGAAAGAAAAAAGGAAAGAAAAAGAAAAAAGAAAATAAGAGCTGAAATAGTTTTATAAGAGTTTATTGAAGATATACAAATTTAGAAAGAAAGGGGTATAGAATATAGAAAACCTATTTATTGTATATTTATATATCCATACGCTTATGTGTATGTATGTGTGTACATTTATTTATATACGCGCGCACATATTTATTTTTATGTGTATAATAGTATAAAAATATTTTAATGTAGTATATATATATATATATATATATATATATATATATATATATACATAATACACACACACACACACACACACATCCATCCATAAATGTAATCCGAGCGAATATCTCATAACAATTGAAATCACAAGAAAGATTAATAAAAAAAATTTGCATAGTTTTAATTCCAAGTACGCGTGAAACAATTTTTTACTCATCAAGATATTCATAACCTTACAATTTTTTACTCTTTTCAAGTTATGAAAGTTACTATTGTTTTTTTGATAAATATTCTATTTATATTTTTTTGTATATTTATGTAGTAGGAATCGGTAGAAATTAAAATCACATATGTCGTAATGAAAAATTGATATCATATATATCATATATCGTTTACAAGAATCGATTTTTTTAGCATTAAAATAATAAACTGTATTTTAAGTATTTCTGAATTTGAATTGGAAGGAGTCGAAGAAATTAAAAAACTATATAAATAAACTAGCCAGTCAGCAAAGTCTGTCAAACAGATTTTGTTAATTTCTGTTAAATTTTTGTCGACAGTAAGATTACAGATTGTATAAAAAATTTATTATATCAAATAATGATAACAGAATGTCAGCAGAAATGTTACAAAACCTGCTGACATAATTTGATAGCAGAAAGTGAACAGAATTTGTTTAAAATTATCATAGCAGATTGGTGGCAGAAATCGAGCAAGATCTGCGCAACATAGTTTGATATCAGATTGGTTGCAGAAATCGAGCAAAATCTGAGTAATGCAATTTGATGTCAGATTGTTGGCAGAAACCGAACAGAAGTTGTATAAAATTATTATAGAAGATTGGCGACAGAAACAGAACAGGACTTGTACAAAACAGTTTGTTGTCAGATTGTCGGCAGAAACCGAGCAGGATCTGCGCAATGAAATTTGATGTCAAACTATCGACAGAAATCGAGTAAAGCCTGCAGATATAGCTGATGGCAGATTGATAGCAGAAATTTAACAGGATCTGTGAGGCGCAATTTGATAGCAAATTGATAACAAAAATTGAATAAGATCTGCGCACACAATCTCTGATAGCAGATTGACAGCAGAAACGGAACAGAATTTGCATGATTCAATAGTTCCTTCACTTACCGCTACGTGAGCTGTACTTTTTTGTAATCTAATTTCTGTCAAAAATATATATAAAGTCGCGAATATGAATAAAAATATAGTAATTATCATTTTAATTTCTATCACTTTAATTTCTGATATCTGATACAAGCAGATGAGATTCAGAATATTAAACTGATTGGAATCAATATGATAAATGGAAAATTATTCATGTACTGCCTATTTGAGGCATAAAGCAAGAATTTAATTTTAAATAAATTACATCTCCAGTTTTACAAGTTACATTTACTTTTATCATTTATTTTATTATTAATTTAATTAAATTGAATTAATCCTTCGCTATATGAGATATAACCCATACAACACATAATACTGAAAGATATCTTTAAGAACTCTTTTTTAAGACGTTTTTTAGAACTGCGAATAAGATCTCTTATAGACATCAATTTGAAGAAATCTTTTTTCTGTCATCAGAAAGACTTCTTAATTCAGCAATTTGTTATCTCATTTATGACGAGTTATAGACTGACTCATGGCTTCCACTGAATTTACTTCTACATGCGCATCCACCTAGATAGCACAGAACGTCTTATGGACGTTCATAGACTTGAAATGGATGTCCATCGTACGTCTGATTCTAGACATCCGTTAACGGCCAATATTTGGACGTTCATATAATGTCCGGTCTTGGACGTTAAAGTTTCGCGCGAGCACGCAAGGATGTGTTAGTTCGCTCGTTTACCGCTACGCAACGTGCGATGCGCTATCATTCTCGTATTTAAGTTTTAGTTAGGAGAATTATATAATGTTTGCAAAGAGTAACAAATAACATTAAAGATATATACTGTTAAAGATATATACTGTTAAAG